AGAGTTCCCCCAGTCTGCAAAATCCCAACAATCGTGTCTTATAGGATAATATAATCTAAGAAAAGACACAAGAATTCACACCCAAAATTGCATTACGAGATGATAGACCTTTGCATCAGATCCTACGTTTCTGAGCTCTGCATATGCCACTGCAATATGTTCAGATGCCTGAAATCCGGAAACCGAAAAGAATTGAGGCCAACTGAGATTCGGACTAGTAAAAGTTTCATCAGGAAAACTATTAGATATCATGTATACACACATAGGCATGTCCGTATATTTAGATACATTGATAGATTACCTCATCAGTGAGCTCTGGTTGGATACGGTGCTTGGCATAATGAATATACTTTTTCAGGAACTTTATAGTAAGAGTATCTTCCTTGTGGCCCCTTTGCCTCTTTCTCCCATGTAGCATCCGGTTATACTTGACAAACACGGATGAGTCATTTTCGCCATCTTCCTCTCTTTGGAACCGTAAGCTTCCATCTGGCCCAGCCTCACCTATGTATGGTACATGAAATTGGTCGTGTTTCAAAACAGGTCAAGGAAGTGTTTTAAGTACATTGAAGAGGCACAATTTATCTCATACCTCTATCACTTTTGTAACGGTGCATGCGAAGTACATGTTCCGAAATCTGGCTGTCAATACCAGGATCCATTTGATCCAACACAATAAACAGAAGATCAAAACGAGAAAGCAAGGAGTCCGGAAGTCCAATGTTCTTGGTTGGAGTTAATGATCTATCATACTGAAGGCACAAAGTTAAAAACAATGGTCAATAAATTCTTCAGATGAAAGTTCTATAAAGAAAACGATTTATAACAGATGCTGTGTAAACTCACAGTTCCATATATAGGATTTGCCGCAGCAACCACACTGCATCGAGCATTCAATGAAGCATGGATACCTGCTTTGGCAATTGTTACGGTCTGTTGCTCCATTACTTCATGTATAGCAACACGGTCCTGATCGTTCATCTTATCAAACTCATCAATGCAAACGACACCCCTATCGGCAAGGACCATTGCTCCGGCCTCTAGCCTTCTTTCCCCTACGAGAAGCATGTTGATTGTGACGAAAAACATCATTTGAAATTGAAAAAGGAAAAGACTCAAAAAATACCCAAATGTGATTTTACCAGTTTCCTGGTCAGAAGTGACAGCTGCAGTCAATCCAACACCTGATGAACCCCGACCAGTAGTTGAGATGGCCAAAGGTGCAATGTTCATGATTGCTCTTAGAAGTTGAGATTTTGCAACTGATGGATCACCAACCATCATCATGTTAATGTCCCTGAAAGTAGAAGGTTTCGGATCACAAGGATTTAGAATCTTGCTAACGGTCTGCAAATTTCTGAACTACGCCATGGATAACCCATGAAGCAAAGAGAAACTGGAAGAATTACAATTTACAACACACTCTACGAGAGTTGAAATTTGTTTCTTAGCATTGAGCAGTGGTCAATATTGTGATTTTATGTATCAGGAAGCATGGCTTACCCTCTTAAGTGGGTTCCGTTTTTCAGATTCTTCTCGACTCCACCAAGCATCAGTAAAATGACTGCTTTCTTTATCCAAGAGTGCCCATAGATAGAAGGTGCTAAAGAGTTAGAAAGGAGATCAAAAGCATCATCTCTCGCTGCAATCTTCTTGATATTCTGTAGATCTTGTGGGGTGTATACAGGTGCATTTGCTTCTTTATTGAGCAGAGAGATGTTGCTGGCTATGAGGATAGTCCTAAACACAAAAGCAAGTCAAGATTAAAAGAATGAAGAAACCATCACAAAATAAGGGGCAAACAGTACCACCTACCTAAACACTCCATTTACACTACCCTTGCTCTTGCCTGGAAGAGCTTTATAAACACCTACTATGGCTACTCGATCTCCTGGTTTGCATGCATCGACTAGGTCATCTTCAGCTATGACATCCACACTTCGTGGAAGCTGACCAGGGGCAGAATTCTCAGGAACTTCTTGAATTGACATAGTCTGATGATCTTTGTATTTGCACAGTCCATACTCAGTAACCAATAAGTTACCCTTATCATCCTGAAACAAGAAGAACGTCACAGACAATTCTCCGGCAATAGAAATAAAATGCAAAACATAACAACAAAACGTAATTACCCTTGTGGGATACACCGATCCAGTAGGCAGACCAATATGGGATGTAATGTCTCGATATTCACGGTTGGTAAATTCACCAGTTGAAGGGCAAAAGTGCACGCTTTTAACAACCTTCGGCCTTACAAGTGAACCTAAAACCGATAATGATAGAAAGTCTTAACTCATACATAAAAGAACAAAGAAACAGAAACACTGCTAAGCAAGATTACTCTTAAAGTCCAGACATTGCCACCATAGAGCACATGGAAGAATATGAGGAAAGAAAAGGCTTACATTTGGTGACAATGCCCTCAACACAGACCATAGATCCAATAAATTCTGAGAGAAGATCTCTGGGTGTTACACGGCGGGAGACAAAAGGACCTTCAAATCCCACAAGAACTTGCTCTCCTTCCTTCAAATACTTTGGATCAATATTACGAGTAGCTTCAGTGACTGCATCACAAAATGATTGCATATACTCGGTTGGGTTCTTGAGGATCCTACAAAAAAGAATCCAGATGAGATTGGTCTGAAACCAATGAGATTTTTCCATCATAAATACGAAAAGCGTACAAATTCAGGAATTGACGGACCTGGCAGCAGATTCACGGAAGTAGGAATGAATATCGGAGACGTTGACGATGAGGCGGAGGCGCTTGTGCTGTATCATCGCCTTGATCTCATCCATGTAGATCTAATTCCATAAAAATCCAGTTCCAATCACAATGCATACGCAGATACACAAAACCATAACAACCAAACTGAGAGAGAGAGAGAGGGAGAGAGAGAGAGACGTTTTCGAGGAACTGAAGAAAATCACGCTTGTGGCGAAGCCTCGTCTCCTCCGGTATATCCATTTCTCACAGCTCTCGCTCGCCGTCGGACTTCTTATTTTTCTTCTTCTTCCACTGATCGGGGGGAGAGAGAGAGAGAGAGAGAGAGAGAGAGTTGGGAAAATGCGGATGCGATTTTCACGAGCAAAGGGCTTCTGAAGCAAAAAGGGTTTTTTTTAGGCGGGAAACAGCAGAAGGATAGCTTCCTCTTTTGGCGGGAATCTTCAGATGGATCTGGGCTTAACTTGATTGGGCTTTTACGGCCCAATATTTTCCTAGGTCTATTTGGGCTATAAATCGACCCAACAAAATCTCTGAGACCCAAAATAAAGTGAAAAAGCTCAACTGTGTTACGTCGTCGTTTCACTAGTCTGATATTAATTCTTTTTTTTTATTTTTATTAATTATTAGCCAAATAGTTCCATTTGTAACAAGTAACCAGGGAGGAAGAAACTTTATTAAGGCAAAATAAAAGAAATAAAGTGCAGATGTTCCGAACGGCGAGACTACAAAACCTCATCAAAAGGGTGATACCGAGATAACGAAATGGCCGACTGACTTGTGACCCAAGAAACTGCAGAAGATGAAGAAATAAACAGAGAGACGGAGAAAACGGATAACTGTTGTTGCCTTCAGGGTCTGAACGCAGAGAACGCCACCACAGAGTTGTGTCCGCCGAATCCAAACGAGTTCGATATGGCTGCGAGAAAGCAGGGAAGAATAATCAAAATCCAATCAGACAAAACTGAATCAGAAAGTACATTTTTTGAGGGGGGAAAGGGTATGGGATTTCGATGTTACTAACCGACATTGACATCGTGCTGCTTCTTCTGGTTGGGGACGGTGTCGAAGTCCACAGCCGGTTCAGGGTTCTGTAACGACGTGTTTAAGAGGCAAGAACAATAACAGGTGAAAATGTCATCGTACATGGCAAATACAAAGACTCTGATATCGATCTGATATAACCCTATTTTCAGCTGAACAGATTGAATCGATATCCGAATCTATTTGTTAAAAGGACGAATTTTTAGATATTCGAAGTGTAAGAAAATGATGGGTAATGAAAAAAATGATGTGGGGAATGATTTTCTGTGTTAAAGATTTGTTTCCAAGATACTTAATTTTAGTATCCGAATATATATGTAGATTTGTTTCCAAGAGACTGAAACAGGGGGAAAGAAGTAAAAATTATACGTACAAATTGGTTGATAGTGGGATGAAGCCATCCAGTGGTGATGGCCTTCACTGTGGCAATGGCTTCCAAGCCTCCGGCTGCACCAAGGCAGTGACCTATCATGGACTGCAATCAAGGGACATGGAAGGTAATTCGGTTTTAGGGAATTGTAAAGAGAGATCACCAAGACCACAGCAAAGAACGATATGATCAGAGTATCGAGTCAGCTTGAAGATGGAAAGAACCTTAGTGGCATTGATTTTGATCTCTGAAGTGTTCTTGAACACCTTCTTAATGGCATTGATCTCAGCAAGATCGCCCACCAGTGTGGAAGTGGCGTGTGCGTTAATGTAATTAACCTGGAAATTCAAGAAAACCACAGCATATAAATATAAATAAGCAATCTAGTAGTATCTATTATCTTAAGGAACGGTTGCAGGAAACTCGGTTAGGCTGAAGAATTAGTGTTTTTACCTCCTCATGTGATACACCAGCATCTTCAAGGCATCTCTCAATGCATGAAGAGACACCAAGTCCGTCGGATCTTGGATCAGTCATGTGATGAGCATCACAATTAACAGCTCCTCCTAGATATTCTGCTATTATCGGAGCACCTCGTTTCATGGCATGTTCCAAGCTCTCCATCACCTATGAGAAAGGGGAAAACAAAATCTTGACAAAAGCCCACATCACATGTGTGTAACATTATTCCCGAGTCCAGTAGTCCAACCATGCAGAGTGGGATCAAGCAATTTTCGATAAGGCAGACAGCTTCTAGAACTCATCAATGTTTGTCATCATCACAAGTTCCGGATGTGGGTATCAATTCATAACATACACCAGCACTGTAGCAAACCTTTCCATTTCATCAGAAGAAGCCAACAATCTCAAAACTCTACCCCTCTATCTATGGGTTCAGACCAAAATAGGTCTCCGTTATCATTGGTTATAAATTTTGATGTTTTCATGTCTTTTTTTTTCCAGTTTTCCCAGCCAACCTGCTTGACCTTACCCGGCAGCATCAGAAACCATGGTGCTTACTATGATTTACCACATCCTAGCAAGTGCACATAGTAATGCATAGCGGAATGTGCATCAACACATGCACATGAACAAACAGAGGCATGTGTAGTTATACTCACCAGTACACCGGCTCCTTCACCCATGACGAAGCCATCTCTGTCTTTGTCCCATGGCCTTGAAGCAGTTTCCGGGTCATCATTTCTCTGGGACAAGGCCCTGCAAGCAACAAAGCCTCCCAACCCAATAGGAATAATGGCAGCCTCAGTTCCACCGGCGAGCATCATATCAGCCTCACCCCGACGAATGTGGTTAGCAGCCGCATAAAAGCAATAATTAGAAGTGGCACAAGCCGTTGAGATTGAATAGTTTGGTCCCATAAGACCGAGATCAATTGCCAGCAAGGCAGAACCCATGTTTGTGATGGCATAAGGAATGAAGAAAGGAGTTATTCTCCTGTGACCTTTCTCTATTAGAGCCTGAACACCATCCGAAAAGACCGTCAAACCACCCATGCCAGTTCCAACCAGTACTCCAGCTCGCAACTTATCAATCTGCAAGGAGCAAAAGATTGAAAAAAGGATAAGATATCTAATGTCGAACCTCATAGTGTCCCCAAAGAGTACAATGAAAAGAGAAAAGACAAGGAGAATTTCATTCACTTGCTCTGTGGAGAATCCATTACGTATTCTTCTAAGCTACTTACAGAACAAAAACCCAAAATGATACAGAAGTGTTTGCTAATGTAGAACCAAACGGCGAACACTAACAATTCAGGCCTTCCCAGCTCCTAGTGATAATTGGCGACGGCGTATATTACATCCAAACTCAACGGAAAATTCACAAATTTCACAAGATAAACAAATTTCACAAGATAAAACCCAAACAAAACATAAAAAGAGATCAAACCCACAAAAAAAAAATCCAAACTTTGAAATGAAAACACATCTAGCTAATCATAGTTCGTGAACTTTCAAATGCAAAAACCGATTAAATCAGCTACAAGAACAAAACCCAGAAGTCTTAACTGACTAAATGCACCTCGTTATTATCGAAAGTGGGAATGATGTACCATCTGACCGAGTGAAAAGGAGCAAACCCATTAATTTAAACCAAAAATGCACCTTGTTGAGCTTGTCACCCCCAAGATCCGCATTCTCAAGCGCTTTCTTGCCGGCGACAATGCAGTACTTCAAGCAATCGTCGAGCCGGCGGTCGTTCTTCCCATCGATATATCCTTCGGAGCTGAACCCACGGATCTGGCCACCGAACCGGGTCGGGAACTTGGACGCATCAAACCTGTCGATGTTGCTGATTCCGCTCTTACCGGCCAACAATTTCTCGTAGTAAGCGTCCACGTCGTTTCCGAACACCGAGACGAGACCCGTACCCGTGATCACAACCCGTTTCTTCGGGTCGGTCTCTCTTTTCGGCGCCGAAACGGCGGCGGATGCGGCAATGAAGGCTTGTTTCCTGGTGGGTCTCGCATTAGCAATCTGATGGGACTGTCGATTGGAGTGCTTCCGAAGCGGGTTCGGAGGCGATGCACGGAGAGGAGGCGATTGCAGAGCATGCATATCGGATTCAGTGACGGGGAAAGAGAGAGGGAGAGAGAGAGCGACAATCACGATGTTGTGATTTGCGTTGCGGGAGCTAAGTTCAAGTTTCAGGAGAGACCCAAATTTAACCCCAAAAATAGATTCGCAAAATATAAAAACTTGAATTTACCCGAAAGTCCCTGTAGTTTTACAACTATTAACTATGAAACCCTGTAGTTCTGTTTCACAATTTGGTCTTTAATAGAACAAAAATCCATATTTATTTTGCAAATGCTATCATGCTTATCCGAGTCTTGTAATAACATTTCGCTCATTGGACGTAACTTTTAAACAAAGATAAAAGAAACAATGTATACATATTTGAAATATCATAACTCCCATATAATTTCTATTTTCCTACTTTGGGAGAGGGAATTCAATGGGTTTGGTGAGGTGGGTGAATGCTATTGTACTTACTTTTGATAGTTTATTAATTGCTATTTTGTATCAGCTGTAATAAGTTGTTGAATCAACGCCTATATATATATATATATATATATATATGGCCTTATAAGAGTATAAGTATTGGAAGAACGGTGAGATCATGTTAATGTGGCATAGTCTTACCACGCAATGGAAACATTATCATGTAATTTAGTCGACGAGGCATTTCCTCTCTCTTTGTATGTATGTATGTATGTATGTATGGTTGTATGTATGTAATGTATGTATGTATGTATGTATGTATGTATGTATGTATGTATGTATCAAACATGCTATTTAGACGTTCTAGAAGCAAACCCACCCCAAATCCCAAAACACGAGAGAGATTAACGTATTTATTACATGTATAGTATTCAGCAATAAATTATGTAGTGTTGACGAATTCTACTAAAACCTCTTCAACAAAGGAACGGTTTATAATAATATCATTCCACGTGTTGACCAAATTCCGCGGAATACAATACTTTATATAAATATATATATATATATATAACTTTATATAAATATATATATATATATATATATCACTAATGTCCAAACAATGAGTCAGATTCTGATGTATAGGAGAAGTTACATCGAACTGAACGAACAGAACAGGTGTTGTTTCCCATGTCATAATAACTGCATACAGTATGGGTAAAGCTAACTAACATACGGGAAACTCTAAGTGAGTTGACAAAGAGCATGGTTAACATATGGGGGTTCGATTACTTGTCCGTTCAACTATCGTCTATCAGTTACGGTTGATTTAACTCCCACGCATGTGTTGCAGGCTCGTGCGTGTGGGTTTGTGTTTACTCCCTCAGCGTATCCGAAGAGTAGCAGTCAGGGTTCCACTTCCCAAGGTATCCAAAAAAAAGCTAACTAACATTATCAACCATCAACATACATTTAATTTCGACCGTATTGCTTGATTATAATTTACATCACTAAATTAGCCATTTATCCAATCAACATCACGCTTCTTCGTTTATTGTTTTTTTTGTTTCCATGTACATATATGAATTTGATTATTTAGCATCTTAGCTTAATTAATTTAAGATTATTATAATTCAAATAGAAATTCCTAATTCTATAGAAAAATAATTGGTCATACAATAGAAAACACCCAACCCAGATAATAGGCAAATAATAAATAACATATGTTTTATTGTTTGGTTACTCCATGTAATTTCCAATACAAAACTCCAATTTTGTACATTATCGCTATACATATACAATTCTTGTTTATAATTTTAAAAATTAACCATCCAACATATATATGTGTGAATTTCATACATTACTATTACTTGATCATTCATTCTCTTCTTGATCATAAAAAAAACAAACAAAATGAATCTGAATTTATGCATTTTTTTTTTGTTTCTCGAACTGAAATTTACATGCAGAATCTAAGAGGAAGAAGAAGAGAACGTGTCAGAATTTGCAGCCGCAACAGAGATAGAAGAAAGCAAGCTTGGAGACGAGGATCATCACTTCGAAGACCGACAGGATCTTGAACTTCAGAGCCTCCAAAAACGACATCTTGAAATTCAATCTCTTCCATTTCAGCCCCGCTGTTCCGAAAAGTTTCAATCCACCCCCTTCCTTCTTCGCCACCCTTCTCCTTCTGAACGTCAAAAACCTCCCTTTTCCCATCATATCTCGATCGAGATTTGATCTCTAAACCGATAATACAAAAAAAAATCGACTTAGGGTTCTGTCTCTGTATCTTAGATCAAGAAGTTTCTGTTCTTCTTGTGTTCTGGTCTCTGTGAGTCGTTGCAGAGGAAGAGATAGGGTTTTATATGGGGAGGGAGAAGGGCTAGGGTTTTTTCGTGGTTTTGTTGGGGATGGAGGGTATTACGGTCATTTTCATGATGAAGTGGAAACGCGTATTCTAATGACGATCAAAGAAGGTAGTCTTGACGTGGGGGCAGTCAGTTTTCTTTTGAAATAAATTCTCGTATACCATTTTTGAATTCCCGAATCTCGGAATATCATTATGATATATTAAATGTATATATTTTTTTAAATTACGGGCAATCAATAAGCCCCCGTGAAAACTGATTTCGATAACTATATTCCATTCTCAAGAAATATTATATATATATATATATATATATATTTGCTTTAGCATTTATTTTCAAGCTGTGAGATTCCATGACACATGTATAATAATAAACACACTGGCACACAGAAACCTTGCGACTTTATCAAAATATTCGTTTCTTACTATGTAGTCGAATTTTCATATATATATATATATATATATAATGATTAATTTTTTCACATCATAGTGGTGGTCTCTTTTTTTTTTCAAATAAGAATTTTTAGACTAGAAAGAAAATAACATCAAAACTGCTGCTAGGGTGAGGGGATTTTCTTTCCATGAAAAACAAAATGTTGATTAAGATAATTTCTGAAACATTCGCCTCACAAATCCGTATATAATCCACGTACTAAACATAGTAAACATATTTTAAGTAATTAGTCGTATGAATATATATAATAAAAAGATTCGTAATTTTAATAGAAATTTTTATTAGATATGTGATAGACATAAACTCGGATTTTTTTCCCATGGTTATATAAGTAAATATATATGGTTGTCTTTTACTTAAAAGGACTCACAAAACCAAGTGATAGGCTTTCTAGGTAAATGTTTTTTTTCCTTGGTTTTGAACTTTTTTTTCCAATTCATTTAATTATGTAATATAATTTTCTAAAACTGTATTTTATATATATATATATATAAGAGATTTTGTACAGCTGAATAACTATAATCTAGAAAAAGGAATATATTATGCGGAAAATTAATGTTACCTTGCGAGAATATAATACAAAATAAGAAACACATAGCATGTTCCATTAAAATAGATTCATATTATTTTCAAACTCAAAAACACGAAATCCGAGACATTACAACATATTGAACTAGGAACATTGATATATTCTCGGGCACTTAGATTCTCCTCTTCTTGTTACCCTTCTTCGAACCTTCCGATTTAGTCGGAGTCTTACACCGCGAGAGCATCATAAGCGTAGAAGAAGCTTCCATTTCCACGGCTCTGCCATTGATCATTTCACGAAGAGCTTCGAGTTTTTTCTTCGTCTCCTTCAGCTCGTCCATGTTCAGATCCTTCACATCCTTAATATTGTTATTTTCGCACGTTTTCTTCAGATTCTTCTCAAGGGCCTGTATAACCATTCAAGATTACTGCCAATATGTATATGTAGAGTTTTATACGAATATCTATAAAATTTTATACGATACCTCCCCGCGGAGTTTCTCAACTTCCAACTCTTCCTCGAAACTGTGGAGGCATGCAAGAGAATTTTCAACCCTGGCCTTGGCGGCAGTTGTTCTCTTGGCCCTCCGAGAAGTGGCGTTTGCGTTTTTGCAAACGCTACGATTATGCGTTTCGGAGGATCGGTCGACAGGGCCAAGGTAGCGGTCGACAACCGCGTGGACGCTGGGGTTGCCGTACGAGTAGGGTCTTCCTCCGGGAGAGAAAACCATGACGGCCACGTCGACGCCGCATAGCGTCGAGAGCTCGTCTGCCTTTTTGAAAACGCCGTTTCGGCGTTTCGAAAACGTCACTTGCCTGGTGCTGCTGTCCTTCACCATCTCCATCGGAATTTTCCTACGCCCCATTTTTTTTTTTTTTTTTTCTTATTAGAACAGTAGCTTTTTTTTTTTTTTTTTTGTGGATTGATGTTTTTATGAGATGCCCTCCATTTATAGATGTTTTTTTTGGAGCAATGGTGTTTGGTATTTAGTTGTGTCTATCCACAGAGAGTTTCATATTCCATAATAGGCTCTGATTTTACCTATTCCGTATGCAAAAATTTTAATATCAAAAAAGAAAAAAAGAGAAACAATTTGGTGGGTCATTTTAATTACTTTTATAGGTTTGGAAATTTCTATATGATTTGTCCATAATTCAATCATACATTTTATTAAAAAATCTAGTGTTAATAGATTTGGTTTTACTACGATATTTTTTATTTTTTTTGTCATTTTACAACTCTATTTAAATCATTTAAAAAATCAAGCTTCTAAAAAATCTTTTGCAAAATGGTACCTTTTTAAATAGTATGAGTTGGTTTAATTAAAAAGAGAAATAAAATAACTTGTTTTTGGACTAATGATCTCTACTTTCCATTGAGAGCAAAAAGAACTCTTAAGTCGTGGAAAAGCTATACAGCCATTTATTTTTTGATAATACATACATACATATATATATATCCATTTGTTATTGATGTTAGTGTCTTATTGATGTCACAATTTATATATATTGAACTACGTCATCTTTTTAAAATAAAATTTAGATAATCATATTTGAGCCTAAAGTACAAAGTTTTATCATGTAATTAGACACACACATATATAGAGAGATTGTCGTATGTACATGCACATGTAGGGGACTTTATATGGACATTCATGAGCTTTTAGTTAATTATTTCCTTTGGCCACCTTCCTTACTTTGCAAAGCGTTGATTGTTTTTCCTTACTTGTCTTATGTAATACCATTTTTTTTATTTTTTTTTGTCACTAGTCTGCATTTTACCATATAATGAAATTAATTTTAAATTTAATTAAACACATATGGAAAAAGATCTGGGGATTTTTAGTTTCTTATTCATTGCCAGTAGATTTTTTTCTTCCATACATAATTTACATTCTTGGGATTTGATTGGTCCACGTGGACATGAAATTCATGGGCTCCGTCTCATTTTGGGCCGAAAGTTTGGTGGTGAGTGATATATTAGTAGAACAACCGAAGAGACATGATCAAGTGCTCTCGAGCTCATGGTAACATTTTGTACTCCGCCAAATATCAATACTTCTTTGACGACACAAAAAAAGAAAAAATCATAATAATCTAATCAAATTAATAATTGTGATTAAGAAAAAGTCACTTTAGACTTTGGAGCATATAATTATGCAATCCTAACCAACAAGACAGTTTGGCCGAGTGGTCTAAGGCGCCAGATTTAGGCTCTGGTCCGAAAGGGCGTGGGTTCAAATCCCACAGCTGTCATATAATTTTTTTTTCTTCTTTAAAAAAAATTATTACGTACCTAAATTTGAAATTCATAATTCGATCAAATTGAATTTTTATTTGGAACAAAGCCGTAACACGACAAATAATTTTCAGATTTTGTAATGGAAAGTATGACAAAAAGGGCTACAACTGCGAAATATTTCTTCATGTGCTCACTCTTTCATGCGTTTTGATCGTCAAGATATTGGTGGTAGGCATAAGAAACGAACCCCCAGAAAGCCAAAAGCATCGAAACCAGCTTGATTCCGCTCATCTCATCGTGGAAGAACACCATCGCCACGACCGGAACCACCGGCAGACCCAGCGTGCTTATCACGTTCGAGAACAGCGACGACACCTCCAGAATCAGTCCCACGCTTCCGACCGAAAACGCCTGCCACGACACCGACGCGCCGGCAATGATCATAAAGTACGAAGCTTTCCCCAGTCTGAACTGGCCCATTTCCGCACTCAGCGTTTTCCACTCTCCGCTCCAGAAGAGCCCCGCCATCACAGCACATGTAGCCACCAGCGACTGGTATATCACCATGTCTAGTATTGCCCTAAATGTTCTCTTCTTGAGGATCTTGTCGAATGCGAGATCGGTGAGGGAGAGCGTTAGGGAATACCCGGCCGAGCTGCCGATCGTGTAAATGAAACCGACCATGTGGTTTGACCTAGAGGACTGAGAAGAAGAAGAGACGCCACGTTCAGGTTGGAGGACGAGAAGGACGGAAGAGATGGTCAAGAGAACGATCGAGTTGATTACGAAAGGTGTGAATCTTTGCGAGTTTAGAAAGTATGAGAAAACGGCATTGAAGGCCAACTGTGATGCAGAAATCAGAGAGAATGTAGAGACGGGAAGGTAGAGTAACCCTAGCGAGTACAGAACTGAGTCTCCGGCTACAATCAAACCCAACACGACATAAACTGACACCAGGGTCAAGGAACAAGACCTTGAGGAAGATGATGCCTCTTCTGTTTCGGTTTCGGTTTCGGTTCCGTGTTTAGGGTTAGTGTAGAGATAACAAGGAAGGAGAAGAGGAAAGCCGACAAGCTGAACTAGGGTTTCGAGCCATTTTCCGTTACCGCCTTTGTCGTAGTACAATCTTCCCAAGAGTGTAGCTATGGTCTGACCGGCCAAGAGGAGAATTACATAGAGTGAAACCCTAAACCACCACAAGTAAGTATGACCTTTCTTCTCCATTTCCCCAATAATCTTGTTGCTTACGCCGCCAATCCCTTTCGAGTTATGTTCTGATTCTATTACACAAAGCAGAATGTACAAGCAGTAATCGTATATTATTACAGAGGTTAGAAGAAGAAACCAGATATATATATATATATATATATATATACTATGAGATTTATATGAACATGATGCATATACAGATCTGTGAAGCTTCTGAATAATAATATTGCCTAATTGGATTGAAAACTTGTAGGGATCGACTACATATACCGCCATTGATGTGAAGCTGGAGTTCTAGTGCTGCTTCTTTTCCCATTCGAGAGCTGACGAACATGGACCAGACAGGAGCAAAAGGTGAGGGAACTAGTGAAGATGTTTTGCCCCTATTTATTGTGATGTGTGTGTGTGTGTATATATATGTGTGTGTATGCATGTATTAAGGCAAACCGTATACAAGTGTTGTTAGCTTATATATAGTAGATAGAATTCGTCGGAATCATTTTTATTTAATAATATTTGGTCCAATGGGGAATTTGTCTGAATCATTACAAGCCATTTTTTGTAGTTGAGTGACTGTTGTATCTGTAAAGTATATTTCTTAATATTGTGAAATCACAATCATAGATAATATAATGATAACCTAAGTTTGAACTTTAAAAAAATATATCGTTACAAGAAATTATAATAGTCGTGGGAAAGGTTATGCCCCGAAAAAAGTTGCGAGCTGAACGAGATGCACTCTTGGAATGAAACAACCTCTCTTCTCCTTCCTAATCGTGGCATAAATCTTTAGTTAACCATAGTTAATTAAAATCCCATACTCTAGAAAAACATGAAATTAAGCACGTGGTGACGAGGGCATTAAAATTTAATTATTATATATTATTTGTATAAGTTTCTACCAAAACAACACTTTTTATATCACTATGAAGATGATTTCTTGAATCGGTTACGACGAAAAAAACATTTTGAAATTGGATAAGAACTTTGGCTTTCACATTTATATATAGATATATTATATATATATTCCGAGAACAAAAGTGAAGATGCAAATAACAATTGAACAATGAGATCATATCAGAGACATGGTGGAGGAATCTGCGTTCCAATATATTTGGCTCTCACGTTTCTGCATGAAGAAGAAGCAGAAGCTTGTCTTCTTCCTCCTGATGAAGACAAATCAAGATGAACGTTTTCGAGGTAAACATTCTGACAAGGCATGCCTCTGCTACAATGCAGCTGAACTGCAATGGCCGACGATGATGTCCCTCTTATGTTCTTGAAGTATATATCACTCAGCTTCACCCTCGACGGTACCTGAAAACGCAACAATACATCCAAATCTTGATATCATGTAACATGTAAAAGAACAAATGAGGGATGGGTGTCTTTTTTTTAACCTTGGACGTGCAGGAAGAGAATGGACAGTAGGATTGATCGATGATGATGGGATTGGTGACATTGTTCATGATGATGTTCTTGAATGTCATGTTGGTCGCCGAGCTCAAACCAGGCGAGTTAGCCCATGTCTTGATCCTGATTCCGTTCGTGGTACCAATCATTCTGCAGTCTCTTACCACGAGTCCCTTCACGTCCTTCTCGTTCGGATATCTTCCAAGGCTTCCAACACTTGAGAGAGAGAGAGAGAGAGAGAGAGAGTTAGTGATCTTTTCTGTGATAAAACTGAATAGCAGAGGTGGGTTTGATACCTGATGCCATGGCCTGGTCCACATCTAATGCTGGTGATGGTTATCTGAGAATTTCCTTGCCCGATCGAGACACAGTCATCTCCAGTAGCGATACTTGAACGGGAGAAATAGACATTGGAGCTGCGTTCGATGTGGACACCGTCAGTGTTGGGACTGTCGGAAGGAGCAGAGATCTTGATTCTTGTCCCTTTGAAATCTCTGCACTCTACTAATGCTATGTGGAAGAACTTGCTGTTGACCGAAGTTATCCCTCTTATAACTGTTCTATTCATCCCCACAAACTTCACGTTCTGAAACAAGGGCAAGAACTTTTCTTGCATCATACGTTTTTTTTTCAGACAAAACATTTTATGTAAAGAAACTTGTGATGATGACTCACGGTCGGGAGGAGTTTGCAGTTGAAATCAGTGGGGCAGCCATTAAAAGGCCAAGCTGAGGCTCCTTGACCATCAAAGGTACCTCCTCCGGTCAAGGTTAAGCCATCTATCCATCCAAATTCAATCCAACCGGTCCCCGATCTGTACTTTGACAGATCGGTCACCGCCTTCAGATGACCCTGCGAGTGTGAAAGATTGGCTCAACTTTTGAACGAAAACCCGAGAAACAACAACTTATAGAGAGATCGGATTTATACCTTGAGATGGACGGTGATATCTGACACGTTTCTGCAGGGTCCGGCAAATCTAAGAGGACCAAGAGAGTAGACGCCTTTCGGAATTACAAGAACTACAGAACCTGAAGCTTTACATGCTTTGTTCCACGCTGCTAGAAATGCCTATACAGTTATATCCAAAACACACGCAAAAAAAAAAAAACTAATGCTTTCACCAGTAGCTCATATTCTGATTGTATCTTAGATATCTTTTGGAAATGATCGATGCGACCAAAGTGAAGAGTTTAGGTGCAGAAGAAGAGGGCAGGTTAAAGTTGGAACCTTGGAGTTGTCAGTTCGAGCATCAGCTCGAGCGCCATAGCTATGGACATTGACAATGACAGAGTTGATGCGTCTGTTTCGCACGGACAAGTCTGCTCCTCGTGTTTCGGAACCAACCGAAGTGGGTTTTCCTCTAAGAACAGAACCGTTGGAACAGAAGATGGATGATGGCAAGAGGAGTACGAGGCAGACAACAATGGCGATCTCCATCTGTTTTTTTTTTTTTTTGGGGGGGGGGGATTTTGAAGGTGAACTAATTAGTTTTTGAGTTGATTTTTAAGAGCTCGCAGATAGCAAAAATAAAAATCAAAAAAAAAAAAAAAAGAGAGATATTTTTCGGGGAGTTAGAAAAGAAACTGCTACGTTTAACTCCCACCCCCACTCCCACTTCTTCACTCTCTGCGAGTTAACTGTCTTAAACTCGAGTCTATGTAATTATACTTTTTTTTAGGCTTTTGCTGTAATTAATTATAACTTAACTGCCTTAAATTCAGAAGCTTCGAAGCAACACAACAGAAATCTCGCATATATTTCTCTTTCCTTTTTCCAATTTAACAAGGTTTCAACATCACATTAGCATTACTATACATTTTTGTGGGACCCATTACAGTGACGTGTCACCAGCAGAAGTAACAAAGACTTGTAAAGACTTCGAAATGGTCTGCCAATTTGGCGAAGCGACGTTGGCATCTGGGGTTCTGGTTTTGTTGTACGGACCCCTCAGGCTGAATATTCCATCAAAAAAATGGCGGAGACCGCTTCTGAAACTCCCTGTATTATTGTTTGGAATCCCATGTATTTCTCTGCAAATCCATTACGAAAGAAACGGCGAAAGAGATTATTGATCAGGAAAGGGCAATGAAACAGTCGTGCTGAGTTTTAGCATGAACAATGAAAGAGCTAATGATCAGAAAAAGGGCAATGGATGATTGGAGAGACTCACAGGTCATTGATGAATCTGAAGAATAATGAATGAGAAGCAATAGAGAGACATGGCGATGGCAAAGCCGGCTATAATGTTAGAGAGCAGCCTCTTGTTATCTTTTGTGGGTACGAAAACCATCTTGAGGGTGTTGGTCAGCTCGAACACACGATGAGATACCTGGTGAAGAACACCGTTTGATCGAAGATGTTAAAAAACTTTCCAACTTCGAGGATTAAAAAGAAAAGAGAGAAGAATCTACAGCTGAAGCTTCTTACAAGGATGTAAATTGCAGTAGTGAGCATGAAGTTGAGTAACGGGTATTCCGGTATAATGGAGAGAAGCCACTTCGGTTGCCCGTTTGGCATGTTTGATCTGGAACAAGAAAAACAAGTATATTATATTACTCATCATAGAACTGAATCAGTGTTTTTTTTTTCTGCAGAAAACCAAGATTTTAATCAGACTACAAACCTCAGCCAGATATGAAATTGGGAAATGTAAGTCTCTAGAGTGACCTTTCCAAGCCACCTGATGTAAAAACAGACATAAAAGTTCTCATGTCAGAAAACAAGACAAGCTCGTTTCAATGGAGGGTTATGTCATTGAAACTCACGCGAAAAGGGTCAAGGAGAAACATCGAAGCTGCTGGGTGAAATTCCGAAGGCATATGTAAACACTGGATCCCTCAGAACAAAATAAAGAGTCAGATTTCAACCCGAAAATGTAAAAACAGAGATGGGATACAAAGATAAAAGAGGGTGGCTTCCGGAACGCACGTTATGGGGATCCATGAAGTGTATGGATGATACTTGTTGTATGCGGCTTTTTCCAGCTTGTATATACATTCATACCACAAGTATCCTACCTAAAACAATTTGAAAAAAGACATGAAATATGCAAATATGTGTACTATTAGTGGATTCAACTATCACAACAAGCTAAAATATTAGGAAGATGACTTACAACTATAGAAGCAGTAACTATGCCAGTCTTGATTGAGAGCCTTTTCTTGGTTTCACACTCCTCCAATTTTTCCATCCATTTCTCCACCTAGAATATAATATTTCTAAGCTCTCGAGATTTATACCAATGACATTATAGACAGAACAACAAGGGAATTCCATATATACATATAAACGCTTACAGTCGGGTGGAAATAGGCATAAATCATCCCGATGATCCATATGTAGCGATCAAGGCCTGATCTGAAGTGCCATTCATGCAGTCTAGAAAGATCGGGCTTTGCAGGGTCAGTGTAACCTGCCAATTTTCACATTCAACTTCCATAAAGTTAGAATCTTTCAATTCCCATGGTGAAAAATTTCTGGCTAAAAAAATGAAAAAGAAAACGTATAAAATTGTTGGGAGTTAGAGATGTTGATCACCTAGGAAAAAAGTTAAAGGACCCCAGAATATTTCAAAAACTCCAGGAATTTCCCACATCAAGAAAACGAAGAGGAAACATGAAAAAATCTTCACAGCCATCACTGATCCGATCTCATTATACTTGCTGAAGATACCCAGAGCTACATAGACCATTACGGTGAAGAGAGTGTGCATCGGACAGATGTAATACAGCATATACTCATTGTTGAGAACAATACAGCAAAATGCTACAAAGAAATTCAACCTCCACATCATCTGGGTGACAACAAAAGATTTCAGAAGTTGAAATAAAGTCTTGTTGGTAAAAAGGTTATATCATATGCTCGGAGAATGGGAATGAACAATTCACCTGAGCAAAACGTGCGAGAGAAAAATCCTTTCTGACATAGTAATATGAGAAGTTTCCAAATCCTGTCATCCAGACATAAGCAGCAATGAACACACGAATTGCGTTGTAAAGCTCTGCCGCAGCAAAATAGTGGTACATCAAGAACAGAACCTGTACAAAGTCACAGATAAAGAACAATATGTTTTTTTCCTTAAAAAATCAGAAATAAGCATTGAAAAACAGTAATGGAGGAAGAAACAACAACCAATGAGCATCGTCATGCTGATTAACATCATTTTAACCCAGAAAAACTTACCTGCATCCATCCTTTCCACTCTTCGGTCTGGTGACGATTAAGGTAAAGAATAGATTTTCCAGTTATCGGTGACTTGTCAATATGTTTCTTGAGAGAAGTCATTGCCGAAACTATGATGAGAAGAATGTACAGAAAGAGGAAAAGGTCGCGGTTGTAATTCTGTCCAAAGGAAACAATATCAGATGAACATGGCATTCGAATTTGTGAAGTGGATATTATTGTAGGAAAGAGGGATGGGAAATGGGAGAAAGACTAAAAACTTTCAAGTGTACCTTGGTAGAATCTCCTAGCGAATTTGTGCGATCACATATATAGAAATATATTAGGATTGCGCCAAACTCCGACCTAGGTAACAACGTGAATATTTGCATAAGCATATACCCAAGGAGATTGTTATATTATTATTTCTTATGCTTAGTTTTCGCTCACATTGCTCTCAAAGTTGCTCGGTTTTCCATCAAGAAAGAATCTTCCATACTCAAAAACCTGCAGTCCCATAAAAAGCAGAAACTATAGAGTGAGTGCTGACAAGGAATTGTTATGAAAAAAAATTGGGGAAAAATTATGTGATGAAAAAACCAACCTGATTAAGTTCATTCTGATGGATGAGTTATGAAACCTTGCAGATGTTGACCGGGCAAGACCTCCCTCAAGCAAATCGGTTTTGTCGCTGCCCTTGTCTGCTGCCCCTTCCAAGTCAACCAGATCTGAATGACTGCATTAGAGGAAGCAAGTAACTCTTTTGAATATACCATAGCCTATGAATAATGTTAAACAGGAGAACGAAGTTGCAAAACTTACGGTTTTGAGGGAAACATAGATTTCTTGTACTCAAGAAGCTCCGAGTATAACCACCCAACGAAAATCGGAACTGCCCCCAGAAGAAAAGATACCTACGAAATTTAACATCGAAGTTCAAACTTAAAGACCAAGATACCATCAAATCACCTCTGGATTGGCAAAAAAAAAAACTACTAGAGAATTACACTCATATGCACAGTTTTAGCAATTTTGTGGATTACAAATTGATTCAAAGGCCTAAATCCATGCCCCTTGTTAAGTGATATTCACACGATCCCTTGATCGGTTATCGTGCTTATTAACCACGATTCATGGGCACAGCACTTTTTGGTTAGGTAATAAGGTCACAAAACTTAAAAGCTCTATTCTACATGGTTTGATGTCATCAAATAAGAAGACTAACATATATTATCTATCTCCTTCGACTTAGTCCTGAAAATTACCCTTCATCTGATATGACCCTAAGAAATTACTGGCAGTGCTACCGTACATTCAGAGTATCAAATCTCACATGAGAGGTAAATTTCTGTAAATTGATCTCAATTGTTTGCTCAAGAACGAAATAACTCTCCAACATGGAGTAATATTTATATGGATGCGCCATCATCAGGCACTTCATACATTCCCTTCCATTAAAATTGGTGGGTTTCAATCGATCAGTCATATTCTTCCATCATCTCTGTCCTCCCATGCACTATAATTCCTTCGAGTACAAGAAACCCAAATTGCAGAAATCAAATTCTCTGCAAACTATACAATGTTACATCACATCCTACTGCAAAGTTTCAACCTTTACCGAAATCCACATCAAATCGACTTAACATTGAGTCGAAACTACCAGAAAATTTCAGTTCCCAGTATCAATTTCACGAGAAATCGTACCTGGCCCGGCGTAATCGGCCCCGGATCCGCCATTTAAGGGATCTTAAGCGAAAACTCGGAACTGCGAATACACCAAAAACAAAACACACAAAGCAAAATCAACAATGTGCACACGAACAAGAATACGAAGAAGGAATAACAAGCTCAAATTGCACGGATCGGGAGACAAATCGAACGTACTAGAGATCGACAACAGGGAAACAGAGAGTGATCTGACTAGGACGAAGGAGGTGGAGAGAGATGAGAAAGTGATCTCTACGAGACGATCATAAATATCAGAGAGAGAGAGAGAGAGATGTGAAGAGGTTTGCTTGAAGAGTAGAGAAAGACGGCGGAAGGGGCGTCGTTTTCGATCGCCGGCGAGCGGTTGCTCCGTATGTTGCTTTTCGGCTTTCAACAGGTTAGAGACAACGACTTATTTCCTTCCCCCTTTTTTTTCCTTGTTAAAAATTGTGGAAATTGCTTACAATTAATTTTTATACATTTTATTATTTTACCACAATTACCCACTACACTAAATTCAAAATATTTAAAGAAACCCATTATAGATTCAGATTTACATGTAATATATGTTATGGCTTAGTAACGAATAATACATACATATATGCATCCAAAATTCATAGGGAACACAACAGCGTGTCTGTTTAAATCGTATTTTCAAATGGTTTTCGGACATTTTCTATCATTATTCGAAATTAGCGAGATACCCATTTCTTTTATATGATATTTTAATATCTTATTTTAAAAAAAACGTATTCATTTATAGCGAAACAGGAACTAAATCCACAAAAAATGGGAATTATAAAAGAATGATCGTCAAAGCCATGCCATGCATGAGAGTTTGACCAGACACCTCTAGATCGTGTTGGGTTATTACAGGTCCACCACCGAATCTTGTACTTCCGTCACACTCGTGTCTGATCTGTGATTTAGAGGGACAGATAAAATGCAAAACTGACTAAATAATTATGCAAAATAAATTGCTATTGTTAACATTTAATCATATTCGAATAAAAGCTTATGTACATAGTTGGGTCCCTTGATTCCATGGGAAGCTAAAGGACACAGAACTAAAAATAAATATACATGTAATTTATATTGAATTGCAATAAATTAATAATATATATTTTTTAGATTTAACTAATCAAGATACATTAGTTGAGCATTATAAAAAAAAGGATATAGATTAGTTGAGTTCGGAAAATAAAATATATAGCCAATGAAATAGATTGGTTATGTTTGGTCCCTTAGTTCTTACTTATTCCCATGTCTGAGAAAGACGTAGCTACTTCTTTGACCACCGAGGCTTACCAATCAAGAGCAATGTCTTTAAAATATTCGTATTCAATTTGATTTTTATAATCGTTAAAGAAGGATATAGCAGAAACTTCAACTGTTGTTATATGAATATATATATATATATGTGTGTGTGTGTGTTAGAGAGAGAGAGAGAGGTGTATGTATAGATAATCGTATATTACCTTCAAAATCAGATATGATATGCATGCATGTTGATCGATTGTATATACAATTTCATTGAACAGACGTGTCGAAGATGTTTGGAGTAAGACAATAATTGCATTGCATGTCTTCCCAATTATTTGTGAATTGGGTGATTTGGTACATATCATATAAACTATTAAATATTTGGTAAAGCTTATTATTTCGTGTTATAATTTGTGTGTGTGTATATATATATATATATATTAAATTAAACAGTAGTGGTCAAACCAAAATGATGCCTACGATATCCTAATGCATCTATGATATGTACGTTATAGGCTTGCCAAATAAATATTCGGCGTGTGTGCGTATGTATGTATGTATGTATGTATGTATGTATGTATGTATGTATGTATGTATGTATGTATGTATGTATGTATGTATGTATGTATGTATGTATGTATGTATGTATGTATGTATGTATGTATGTATGTATGTATGTATGTATGTATGTATGTATGTATGTATGTATGTATGTATGGTTTCTAGCACGGTTTCACAAAAAAAAATGTATTAAGCAGGCCTTTTCGAAAGAACAATTACATGTCCCAAAGAGATATCTATTTATATATATATATATATATATATATATGAGAGTGTGTGTAGGTGTAATTGTATGTTTCTGTCCATTTTAGGGTTTGGCAATCACTTGATTCTCCCGGCCGGAAGATCTGAAGATTGCTTCTTTTTTTAGGATTCCTCGTCATCTTCGAGTCTTGTTAGGTAAATTTGGTAGTGACCCAACAACACATCGTTATCACAATAACACTATTATTTACGTTACTGAAATAGAATGACATAACCACTCCTATATATAATTTAAAACGCATGTATATATATATATATATATATATTGATTTACAAATGATTCGATACGGCATTTGATGAAATCTGATTAAATATGTATGCTGAGTCATTCTGTCTATACTAAAAAAAATCATAATTGTTCTTAGCATTTGAGTTCGTTGTTTATTACCACATTATTAATGAAAAATAAATAAAAATAGATCTTATAATAAATGATATGCAACAACAAATAGTAATACCAATCCCATTGGCGAATTATTTGAGAAAGCTATAAAGCGATGTGTACAATAACTTTACATTTAATCATAGACACATTTAGTTGAGAGAATTCAATGGACTTAATTAATTATCATGGCACTCATAATGATATACGGATATAGTTTGTCTGAAAATAACGCAATCGATTCCATTGGTTAGATTATGGAAACAGGTTTGGAGATTAGACATATCGGTTGAATTTCAAACAGCGCTTTCCAGTTCCATCGTAGCAATGTCCACTTCCAAAGCCACAGGAACGATAAATTGTCATAATTGAGTCATTTGGTTTTCTTCCATGGCATAAAATACTCATAAATTTTGCATGTGCGTATGCATATACGTATATATGTACGAATGAAAGTATTTGTGTGATGTACGTACGTACGCATGTATTATGTATTTTATGTGGGGGTTAATAATTGGTGCATATCCTATACTGTGGTCCGTGGATAAGATTGGAGCAGAAGACGACAAACGTTTTTGGTCCATTATCTTAAAAAGGAAGAACTCAACTTGTTTTGTTTGTCGTTTGAGTTGTTCGTATATAGCCGAAAAATATAAGTGAATTTTGTTATTTTTATAAATTAATTTTGGTTAAACCGACCTAAGAATGAATACTAGGGTACGTATTGAACCCGGTTATCGGACATCTAAAGATAACGTTTGTACATAATCGAGAGTCAAACCCTTGACCGGCTTTATATGAGTTGAAATACAAATACTTCAACCGATTATTCAATAATATTCAAAAATCGCGTACACCTATTTAAAAAAACACATTATAAGAAAATTACGCGGTGAGTTTATTGGATAAATCAACAGCTAATATTTGTTTATTTGTGAATTTAAAGATTATTATAGAAATTACTGTTAAGTACTGTTAAATCAACTGCAGTCCTTTTTGTTTGTTCAAAGTGGCTGACATATCAACGAGCGGATTTTAGCAAATATTTGGCAGATACAATACAATCCATATATTTCCAAATTTCCCAAATTCTTTACTGAAATTTAATTTGAATTTTTACGGTAATATGTAAATATAAGATCCATTATTATGTGTTACGCGTGTAAAAAACATGAGAAAATTAACATTAGATGGAGATCAATCTCGTAAAAAGTTATGTCGTTTTCGCTGTTAAAGGAAGAAAGACCCATCACGGATCTGCTTCTACAAATGATATTAAAATACGGGAAAAACGTCATGTCACATGATGATGATACCATGCAGATGAAATGCCCATAAAAGGAAAAAAAAATCATAAAATAAAAAAAGTGGGGAGAATCCTCTCAAGATAATCAAAATCCTAACACAAGTTTTTTTCCCCTCCTCTTCCAGCTAATTATATATCTACACGCTAAAAAGAAACAAAAAAGAAAACATTACACACACACACACATATATATATATATATCGAAAGTCTCCTTTCATATTTATCTCTATATATATGTATGTATATGAATACATGATGTGTATATAGAAAGTAAATATCATCAAGGCTCGTGCTTGAAGAAAGAAGGAAAGATCTCCTTCAAAAGCTCATAATCACTGCCTTGTAGGTACCCCGCGTGTTGTTGAGAACTAGGGTTTACGTTCACACTGTTATTACCACCACCGCTTTGACTTTGACTTTGACCATACCCATGCATCAGCACCGCCGCACCTCCGCCGCCGAGATTTCCGCCGGAGTAATTAGCCGACGACGTCCTCAAGAAATCGTGGGCTAGGGTTCTGGGATCGGCGGATGAGTAATAAGATGCGGTGGAGAACATGGCGGCGGCGGAGCTTCCTCGGAGATTGGACGGAATCGGGTGGTTGTGTTGACCCTCATAGGTTGTAATAACAACTGTCGGATCTTGGTACGATCTCTCCACTCGTTTCTTCACGTTGCACCTCTGCGTCGTGCATCTGTAGTAACTCCTGTGTATATATATTCCGGATTACAACGGTTATATACAGCGGACCTACACTATATATTCTCCGTATATACGTACTATAGTTAAACAGTCTTGTGAATATACGTATGTATACGTGTATATATACCTGGGATAAGGGCTGTTCTTGACGGCTTTTTGACCGTATTTTCTCCATCTATAACCGTCTTCGAGATGGTCGACTTCGCTCTTAGTCATAAACGCTACGCGCGGTTCCTTTTGCTTCTTCTCCTCGTTCTTCTTGGCTTTACCTCTGAATGTACAAATCATTCGATACGGTTTAATTAATCGCATGTATTGTGAACGCCGATCCAAATAATTACATGGATTATAATGAATAATTAAAGTGATTAGCGAGAAAAACGTTATTATGTAACGAAATGGACCAATCTTTGGCTGTTACTTAACGTAACGTAACTGAACTCTACAAGATTAGCGAGGAAAACGTTCTTGTTTTGTTTCTGTCCCTCAAACAGCTTGATCGTTTGGATTCGTTAATGATTTTTTTTATATATATTTACCTAAAAAAAATTAAAATTAAAAAATATTTTTTCCTACTATAGGAGTATTTCCAAGAATGTGAACAATTTTCATTTGAATTCTAGAATCTTGTCTGGCGAACTAAGCCAAGAAATCTCCAATAATATTTTTAAAGATCTGGCCCGCTTAAATGCTGCATTAATTTCTTCCGTTAAATAAAAGCCTATTAATTTTTTATGAAGTAATTAAGTATCGGATTTAAGCATTTAGACAACATATTACAAGTATAGGATACGTGAAATCTAAATTATCTTTTTCTAATCAAGGTAAACTTTTTTTTTTTAAAGAACTTACATTTTCTTGGAATTTTCTCCACCATGGTCTTCTTCACCTCCTCCGGTCACCGCCTCCCTCTTCCGGCGGCTTCTGCCGGAATCTTCATCGGGACGATCGGCTTCACTCGAAGAGTTAGAAGAGACAGAAACCCTAGTCGTGCTCTCAGTAGTTGCACCAATATTACTACCCTTCTGGTGAGAAACATTCCCTTGATCGATGGAAGAGAAAACCTCGGAGGAAGAGGGAGACAACCCGAAAGCCTTCTCGAGCGACTCGTACGCTGTCGGTGAACTCCGGAGACAGTCGGTGAAGCTTAGTGTCGTGTAAGAAGATGGATCGAACCCTTGTGAGATATTGTTTCCAAAGGCCGAAGGCCCTGAAACCAAATGATGATCAAGAGGGTTGATGATCTTGTGGTTGTAACTATGATCATCCTCGAACAGGTACGATGAAGCATATGGGTAGCTGTATAGATCTTTTGTTTCATTAGACATGACAGAATAACAGCAGCGAGACTAAGAAGAGGAAGAAGAAGGAGAAGGAGGAAGAAAGAAGAAAAAGTTTAAATTGGTTTAGGTTTATGGGATCTGATTTGTGGTAGACTTTTGGGTCTTCGCTTGTCCCTTATTTATGCCCTTTGAAACTCCAACAGAGAGAGAGAGAGAGAGAGAGAGATGGATAGTTTTTGGGCTAATTGATTTTGAGAATATGGATCCAAGCAATATAGATGGCGATACAAAATCTCATTTTGCATGTGAATTGAAACCATGTGATAAATCTTTGAAAAGGACTTCTCCATTATCATTTTTCTAGAGAATAAAAGGACGGAGATTTTTCCAATTTTGAAAACGAGAGCATGTTAAAAAAACAATGTGAACATAAAAATTGGAAAGATATATAGACACGATTATTATATTATTATTATTACTATTACTACCATTATAAATTCAGTGTTGCCAAAAAAAGGAAACAGATAAAAATAGAGAGAAAGAATGTAATTATTATTTTTGTAATATATATATATATATATTGTGTGTGTGTGTGTGGCTCTAGGGTCTTGGGCTTTGAATGAGACTTTGCAATAAAAACTTTTACATAAAGGATAAGTTGACAAAATCACTTCTCCATCCCCCCCTTGGTGGAAAGAGTACAAAAATGGCTTCTAGTGAGGAAACATGCTAAAACTATGTTTCTTAATCTTAATGCTTAACGCCTCTAAATGTTTTTTCATTAAATTAATGCTTAAATAATCTTAATACTCACACACTTATTGCACCATAATTTAATAGTTAATTCATTACAAGCCATGCATATCACAAATCATATATGCTTATATATAAAAGCTTGTTTAACTGTTTAAAGATTTGATCTTTATTATAAAAAATTGTCTCCACAAAATAAATTTTCTAATGAGTAGCGTTTCATGCTTTGCCTTTGGGTTGTTTCGGTGTTAATATTTGTGGCGAATGAAGGTGAGAAGCACGCGCGGAGACAGAGCGCGTGAAAGTAGGCGACGTAATTGAAGGAGTCAGCGAAGACTAAGGGCTTACTGGTGACCGGGTACCGGCGATAATCAGTCTTCCGGTCATCAGAGACGGAAAGAGACAGTCAAAGATTCAAACGGGAAAAAGATTTAAAAAAAAAAGCGGTTTTGTTTTGGGAGTATTAGGCTGCCACGTGTAATTACTGGCACCGGCACTTGACCGTAGCCGACACATCACCCGGCACGTGCGAAACCTCCTCCTCCCCTGCCTACTCTTAAAAAATTAATATATCATATTATTGGCACTAAAAAATAAAAATCTAAACTGTTAAGATACTATATAAATGACATAATTTTGTTTTATAGAGATTTTAAATCGGATACTATTAAAATAACATTTGGGTTCTGTATATCATGATTTAAAATTTAGGATCAACCATCTTCAATCATAACAGTATAATTTAGTTTTTCGCTTTAATTTTTACTATTTTTTATTTACCAATTTGATCATATATAAACAAAAATCGCATGTATAGCAATATAATCCAAACGTAAGATATCCAAAGAAATGATCATATTATATTTTAAATGTTGACTAACATAAATCATAAAAAAATAAATATGTAAAATATCTTTTCACTCTATATAACTATTGACGCTCGCACCAAATTTTATTTTTTGATAATCTGAAAATTTAATAGATTTTTTTATCCGAATATATTTTCCAAAAGATCAGAAAAATCTATATAAATACATGTTTCTAAGTGAAAATTCGAATCTGGATTGAAACAACTAAACACAAACCCATTAAATGTTAAATCCATTGTAAAATTTAGAATAAATTCCAAAAGAAAGTTCAATGTTCGAGAAAGAAAAAAAAATTATGACCGAGGGTTAACTTATGCTGATGGATACATGACGTCAGCACACCTTCTCAAACTCCTTTCCCACTAAAGCTTCTCCCTCGGGTGTAAAGGTGAATAAACGGTCCAACCATGCTATTTAAATTACGTAATTGCTCATACATATAAATGCATTTTTTATATAATATGAAGTCTTTAATAGTGGAGTAATGTGGACTGATGGGGAAGCAGTTTACGTGGAAAATGAAATGATTTTCATTTTATTCAAATTTTTAGTGTAAAAAACAAGATGTTTTTGATGTGATAAGTGTGTGTGTGTATGTATATGTATGCATATACAATTGATTTTATCTATTTCTACGATATATATATATATATATATATATATATATATATATATATATATATATTCATCGACTATAAAAAGGGGCTATTTGCAAAAGGGTGTGCTATGAATAGGTGGAATTCCTAATCGACGAGACAAATTAGATCAGCTTTCCATATGGTCAAAGTAAAATATTTGGTTTCCTCGTAATCATCATAATAAAAATATCAAATCATGAAAATAGAAATAAAAGGAAATATTTTAAATATTGTCATTTGGAAACATTAAATATTACAAGATCAAAATTACATGATACATGTACATACATATATTTTAAATATTGTCATTTGGAAACATACGTATTTCGATATGAAAACATTGGTATTTGATATATATATATATATATTATAGTTTTTAAAATTAGATAATATTTCCATTACTTTCATATATTTGGGATCGGATTTTCGGACAAACTCGTATCTAAATGAGTTTTACGTCTGAAATTTATTCATTCCTTTTCCGGACAGAATTGCCTTTGTTTGCGGACGGATTTTCCGTAAATACCAACCATCTATAAATTTTTTTTTTTTTTAATTTTCACAAACATTGTACCAAAAAAATAGGCTTTTAATATTTTTTTCCGATGATTGGGACTCTCTTTCTGGTCAAACAAAAAATAAAAAGGGCAAAACATGATGAAATTGATTTTCTCGGAAAGATGAAAATGAGAAATGCAACTCTACTATTGATGATCCCCATCTTACAAAGACATTTGTTTTTACTTTTTATATAATCGAAATAAAATAAGTTATTTTTCCGTATTATAAATCTAACGTATAATTATTGCCAATAAACCTAAATAATATTCCCACAAATGGTCGCCGTAATTTGTGCCTAATTGTTTGCATCATGATATCCAAAAAAGCTTATTCTAAAATAATTATAAAATCTTATTTAGAGTCCCAATTAACTTATTTATTTAATATTTGGTCCGTCTCCTAAAATTACCCTTAGGCAGACCGTGGACCCTTGCCTACATTATATATGTGCATAGTTGAATTGTATGACCCATTTGTGGGACATATACCTAACCTTTTAAAGCTAGTTTCTTGCTTGAGTAGGAATATTTGATAAACTCTATTATTTTTCACACATTTTGTGTTGGTATATAAATTATTAATCTAGTCCAAAAGTCCCACGATATACATGAAATATTTTTTTTTATTATATATTGCATAAGTATAAATTTAATAGATTAATAATTTGATCATACAAATCGAACAATTAATAAAAAAAATTTGAACCCAATAAATGATTTTTTTTTCTTGCGATAATGTAAATTTCACGTCATCAAGATCGATGCGAGTGATTAATGAACTAACATGCACTAGGATTTACCGTTTACGTAGCATTTATTCAAATCTTAATTAAATGCCGAGGCAGTTAATGGTTAGAACCATATGCATACGTTACTATTATTATTTTATTTTATTGTTATAATTTTTTCTACCCTACGTTATAAAACGATATATATTTTTTTTTTATAATCCGGAAGTTCAGCAGGCTTTTGATCCGACTACATCTCCTATAAGGATCGGGAAAGCCCAGGTGAATGCCCTCCCCACGCTTAAGTTTGAATCTAGAGTGAGAGCATGTTTTGCATGTTCTCTTATCACTAGACCATCCAAATTTGAGTTTTGGTTTTAAATTATTTGTGAAGGATATTTAGAAATTCATATTCACACGATATATACGGTGTTGGTTTTAAATTATGAATAAAAGAGAATGAAATTGTTGACCTTTGCTTTAAAACATCAAAGTTGGGGCAGGTTTGTTGTTAGGTGCGTGACAACATGAATAGAAAGGAATCTTTTGTATTTTATGTTCTTTCACATGTTCCTTTTTATATATTAAAATTTATAACATTATCGAATTGCGATAATTTAAAAATTTTAAACTTACAAATATACAAATCGTGTGGCGTTGTGACAATTTTAAGCGTTCGAAGCCTTTGATAACACTCTCAAATATATCAAGTAATTGTTTGCGTCTCCATTCAAATTTAAATTTAATCAAAATTGTGAAACTCAGAAGGTAATAATATACTTTAATAATATAGAAAATGAAACACTTGAAAACTAATTCCACGTACACACACGCACTATTTCTGTGAGAGCATAAGCATATATATACATATATTGTATGTGTGAATGTAAATATAGAAAAGCTATTTTCCGAAAAAAAAAACATGTGTGTTTCTATGTACATAAAAAACCCTACACCCTAATACGAAATTTACAATCGAGAAGGGTGGGCGTTTTGGGATTCGGTTCGGAATTTTAACGGTTCGGTTCGGGAACGGTTTATTCGGTATTATAAAATTAGTACCAAATTAGTACCGTATATTATTCGGTTCGGTTCGATTCGGTATTATGACGGTTCGGGACGGAACGATACTAATAAAAAAATACCAAATAAGAACCGAAATAAAAACGGTTCGGAACGGTTCGGGACGGTTCATATAATTCATATAATATAAAAATAACAAAATCCAACATAATAATTTAGACAACAAAATAAAAGTTTTAAATTTGATGTAACCGTAAAGAAATTTAACATAATAATTTTAAAATTTTCTATAAATATGATCAAAACTTTAAATTACGTTTTAAAAATCATATTATATACCTAGAAATCAATCTTTTTTACCAATAAAATAAAATATATATAATATAAAAAAAATAAATAAAAAGAGATAAAAATAAAATATTTATAAAGTAAAATATAGATAACTTACTATTATATATAATCAAAATTAATAAAAATAAATAATTTATTGAACTTTGATAATGTTAAACAAAATAAATATCACTATTAATTATTATTAATAAATAAAATAAACATAAATCTAAATACATGATGTAAACAATTTATTAATATTTAGTAATTATCATAATTAATTATTAATATTAAATATTTTTTAATTAAAAAATACAAATACCGAAATACCGTTCGGTATTTTCCGAACCGAACCGAATCGTTCCCGAACCGTTCGGTATCTTAAATCTTACACCGTTCGGTATTTTTATATAATACCGAACCGAACCGTTCCCGAATTAATCGGTTCGGTACGGTTCGGGACTAAATTCCCGAACCGAATTGCCCACCCGGAGAAGTAGATAAAAATGAATCTCTGTATTGGGATCACCAAACCTACTATACCTAAGAAAACCGGGTATAGACCGATTTGGTACAACTTCAAACCGATCATGAAACCGGGAAAACCAAAATTTCTTCTTCTCCGCCTCCCCCTCCTCATGATCACAATCATGGGAACGAGGATGAATTATGATGTGAAATCATGCTAAACAAATCGCATCATAGGAAGCTGAAGACCTCTCTTTTCATCATCATCACCACCGCCACTATCATCATCATCATCATCATCATCATATCATCATATCATGACTCAGTTGCGATGTGGAATCATAGATAAACAAGAATGAATCATTGGCTGCTGCACTCCACGAGATCCAAGAGAGTGATCTTGCCATTGTTGTTGGTATCGAGCCTGTCAAACTGGCTTGAGATCGGAGTTATGTCCTTCTCGCTTATCTTCCCCATTTCCTTCAGCATGTATATCACGTACTCTGCCTTGCTGCAAATGAAAGAATCCCCAGAAAATATTATCGTTTCGACCAAATCTGGAATGTTTTCGGAACACCCAATAGGCGAAAACGCTCGTTCCTTCGCCAAATAAGACAATGCTCACCGTCAGACAAAGACTTTATCTGAACCCTACATACTAACGAAACAGAGAAACCCGAAAAGACGAGCCAGATCATTCATGGATGTAAGGACAAGTAGGCATGCACAGTTTCATGAAATGGCCAGAAAGAAATCTACAAATACTCGGGCGATCTGACTTTCATGGGCCAAAAAGTTCTGAGAAATTTACGATATAACGAACTCGAACCTTACAAGGGAACGAACGGTTCCTTGTGAGCAAAGTCTGAAACTTTATAACAGAAAAAGATGCCAGAACTTTCCAGATTTTCAGACAACCTGAAGTCAGAAAGATGATAAAAATCGTTGTTCTAGAAAAAGGGTGGGAACTCAAGAGCTCGAGCAGCTCAAAGAATTTCCCCAACTTCTGGTGATCAAATGTTTTAGTTTCCAACGTTACAGACAATCATTCTGATGAATCCTAAGAAATGGTAATGGACGCATCAAACCTCGCAAATCGTAACCACGTTATACCGATCTTTCATTATCTAAAACAGATCATGTCAATCAGCAAGATCAGAATTCAGAACATCTTGAAATAGTGTACAAAAACAGAGAGAAGGGCAAATTCAGTAAAGATTCATATAATCCAAAAGAGCCCTCATAATCATATATGAAAGTAGATAGGAGAAGGGGTCAATACCTGACGCAACCATTGTTGTCGATATCTGCAGCAAAGAACTGAGCAACTGTCATGTTCTCACAAAGCACTTTCTTTGCTCGTTTTCTGTTCCTCTTGTCCACCCTCGCCTCAGTCAAGTACAAAAAAGCTCGAGCCACGGCTAATGTAGAAACGAGCAGCCATATCGCTGCAAAAAGCCTGCCGGGCAATGTCTTGAAGGCATGATCCCCATACCCAACTGTCGTAACCGACATAACTGACAGATAAAAAGAGTCCAGCCATCCGAGCTTCTCAATGAAATGCATAATCCCAACACCAAATCCAATACATAGCACCACAACGCCTAAAGCCAATCCCACTTTCAACCTAATTCTCATCCTCCCCTTCTTCACATCGATTATGTAAGATCTTGCCTTGTCTCGCTCGTCCCCTGGCTTCACCGCCTTCAACATATAGCTTTCTTGCAGGTCAAGAACGTATGTAACCATCCCACTTAGCCAAATATCTATGAACCCAAACCCGACAAGCACAAACAAGATTGAAAACAGCTTTGTCGTGGTACTGTTGGGCGTGATGTCGCCATAGCCGATGGTGCACATCGTCACGATGCAGAAATACAAGGCGTCGACAACGGGATGGGTCTGGTTAACTACGTAGTTATCACGATTGAACCAATATATAAGCACCCCTAAAGTAAGATACACCAGAAGCAGAGCAAAAGCTTGTCTTACAACGGATCGTGAATCGGACTTTTTCTGGGAATCGTGAACTGGGTGACTCAAATCGTAGATCACGGCCATCGCCGGGGCGGTTTTGGACCGATGGAGAGGGTAACCATGCCCCCATTTGTAATTCGGGTCGATCAGCCACGATTCCGGTTGTGATGGAGACGGCGAGAGGAGCGGCTCGACGGCGGAGGAATCGGAGAAGGATGCGGCGGCGGAGGACGACGGCGAGGGTATCTGAGAGAGGACATCTGCAAGGGAAGACGAATCGCGCGGGGAGCGAGGGGAAGGACCGAAGATTAGGCGGTCTTTGAACTCCGACGGAGTCATCGGCATCGGAATCGCGACCTCGCCATCTTCTGGTAACGGACACAGCTGCAGAGGAGACTTCTTCCTAGGGCTAATCATGAATTGCAGAAATGGGTCTATGTTATTGGCATCATTCGCCATCTGGGTCGTCGTCGGAATACCAGAAAACAGAAACTTTTCCCGAGAGCCCACTAGAAGCAAAAATGGCGAACAAGAAGCAGAAATGGCGGAAAAATCGAAACTTTAATGACGACGACGTTAATGATTAGCTTGCCAAGTAAATCGGATAAGGCCACAAGGTATGAATTTTATGGACCGTTTGGTTTTGCTGTATCACGGTAATTCAAATTGATTCCTTATATTATTATTTCTTATACTGATTGAATTGGTTGGGCCAAAGTTTAGGAAATCCATAAAAAAAGTTTTGAATATTGAAATAAAAGGATGACAGCCAGCCAGCCACGGTGTATTATTTATCACGAACAAAACGTGATTTCGTCTGGTCGAGGAAGACAAACGGCATGATGTGTAGTTGCCGCATCTCCACATGACGCGATTTCTTTTTCTTTTTTTTTTTTTCCAGAGATTTCCACACAACGTGGAAATGACTTTAATCCATATAATCTGATTTTTAAATGTGTAAATGTTGTCGAGTCACAAATATTAAATAATGTAGTCTAATCATGTAGTGCTTTAGCATATAATAAAATTTTATAACAATAATATAGCAATAGCAGCCAAGCCCTACGAAGGTTGGTGGTGCATCACAATCATACACTATTAAAATTCAGCGAATGTCAAGTTTATATAATTCAAAAGATTTTTTAGGGTTTATATAATTTATAATCGGATTTAGATAAGATGCTAATTATGAAATCGTCCGTCTGACGTCTGTAAATCCTTCATTCCATGCAACGTATCATTTAATGTTTAAACATCTTTAGATTTTGTAGCAACGGAGAATGAATACACGCGTGGGGAAGGGCGCGTGGGGAGGGGGTGATGAACAACGATCATTTGGATGGGCTTTCTTGGCGTTGGTGTGTGATGGGCCTGTAATCGGCCCATTGGTCTTAGCCTTTATACTTCAACAGGGCCGACGAGAAACCCTTAGTTTTACAAAATTTGATTGTTACTTTGGTATGTATCTGAGCAATTCGAGAACTTGAGTGGTGACCATGGATGCCATTGCCAACGCCACCGTCTCCGCCGGCGAAGCAATGTCTCCGCCTCCGCCGACAGACTTCTCTTGTGGTAAACTCTCTCTCTCTCTTGCGTTGAAGTTCTGAGTTTGGTCTCTCGTAGGCGATTCCGCCATTACTATGGAAAACCAGTACGATGGAATATGAATCATTGGATCGATTTTGTTTGCAGATATGGTCGATACGGATAGACTAAAGGAAATTTGTGCAAGCGGAGCACTGCATTTTGATGATTCGACTTGGCTTATCTCCGAGATCGAGAAATCGTTTCCAGTACGTTTTCGTATACTTTGAATTTCATCTCTGTATGACATGAACTCTGCGGCGGTGTTTGGCTATAGGGTTAGTAATGAATTACTGAATAGACGAAGGTCTTAGGCTCAGTTCCGGGTTAGGCTTACTTTGTCTTTGTAATTACTGCAGGATGATATAGAGAAGCTATGTCTGGTTTATGATGCTTTCTTGTCAGGATTTCCTCTTTGCCATGGATATTGGAGGAGGTATGCTTATCACAAGATACGGTTATGCACCGTAGAAAAGGCTGTTGAAGTTTTCGAAAGAGCCGTAGAAGCAGCAACATATTCTGTCCCCATATGGGTCGACTATTGCACCTTTGCTGCAGCAGCGTATGAAGATCCTCTTGATGTTTGTAGGTATTTGTGAATTTTGGGTAAGCTTTATATTTTCTTTTCCTCATTTTTTCCGTATGCCTGGAAAATATGCTTAGTTTATCCTTAAGTTACAGGAAATGGCCAACTTAATGTTAATACTCTTTCATCAATGGCCAATGACTATGTTTGTGTCGTACAAATCAATTGCTTATGTTGCTATGCAATGTATGCATATGGGTTGACGCTCTAGATAGCTTAGTAATTTGCTTCTATTACTCCATCCGTTCCTTTCTTATGGAGCTAATTGCTTTATGTAAAACCATCTTGCAGATTATTTGAGAGGGGCCTCTCATTTGTTGGAAAAGATTACTCATGCTATGCTCTGCGGGACAAATATATAGAATTTCTGTCAGAACAACAGCAGTGGAGTTCACTGGCTCACATTTTCCTCCAGACCCTGAGATATCCATCCAAAAAGTTGCATGTCTATTATGAAAGGTATATCCTCGGGCAGCTGTTTCTATAATTATTGTTTTCCTGTGTTCTGTTATAAACTGTACTCCCTTTGTGTCTTTAGTTCTGTTATAAACTGTGGTGGCTGTAGGAACCTTCTGTTGATATATCTGTTCTGTACTTTTTTCCAGCTTCAGAATTCTGGCAGCTTCTCTGAAAGAGGAGATTGAATGTGGAATAAATGCCAGCGGAGATCTTTCTTCAGTACCTATTGAAGAAGACGCAGACCCTTCACATTATACCGATGATGATATTGCTAATATCGTTAGAGATTTGCTGGGTGCTTCCAATGTCTCGGTTATGTCCAAATCACTGCAGGCATATTTATCAATCGGAGAACGATTATTTCAAGATACACAACAGTTGACGGAAAAAATAAGTAGCTTTGAGACACGAATCAACAGGCTATATTTTCATGTGAAGCCACTCGACACAAATCAACTGGACAACTGGCATGAATATTTGGACTTTGCTGAATTACATGAGGACTTTGATTGGGTATTGTATCTCTTGGTTTCTGGTTCTTTTTTGCTCTTGCAGATTCTTTTTGTTTGTGAATCTTTTTTCTTTCATTTATTGCAGGCTGTTAAACTTTATGAGAGATGTTTAATACCATGTGCTAATTATCCTGAGTTCTGGATCCGCTATGTGGATTTTGTTGAAAGCAAAGGTGGAAGGGAGCTAGCAAATTTTGCACTTTCTCGGGCAACACAAACTTTTGTCAAGGTAAATAAATGATCTTATGACTCTCTCAAATTCTTTGTGTGATTTTCATGCTATTCATTATGCCATATTATTCAGGTAAGCCTTGAGCGTGTCAAAACTCAAAAGTGACGGTAACAAAGAAATGAGCAATTAGTATCATGTAGTTACTAGTTATATCCTACCTCATAACCCAAATGGGTCCATGGCATTGGCTTTTATAATTTGATTTGGTTTCAGTCATACAGATTGTTCAATAGCAGTGTTTCGGTTTATCTAACTGATAGCGTTATACAAGTTCCAATCTATGGTTTTTTATTTATCTTCGTTGCAGAATGCATCTGTCATCCATCTATTTGATGCATGGTTCAAAGAACGCACAGGAAATGTATCAGCTGCTTATGCTGCTCTTTCTCGATGTTCGAAGGAGCCTGGTTTTACTTTCATTGAAAATGTAATGAAGAAAGCTAACATGGAAAAACGCCTGGTAAGCTAAGCAACTCTGTACCATCTTTGGTTTTAAAGTGAGTTTGTGGCCTCATATTTGCATTCTTGTTCATTTTGCTTTCACTTGACATTTTAGGGTGATTTTGAAGCAGCTGATAAGACGTATAGAGAAGCACTTGAGAAAATTTCTGCAGGGAAAGAAAACTCGGAGACCCTCCCGCTGTTGTATGCTCATTTTTCTCGCCTCAAGTACACGGTAAGTAATGTGTCCGAATTTACTGAGGTTTATATATTGTGATTGCTCAGACAATGTTATGTTATGATATTCTGGGACCAAAACATGCCAAACTCTCTGATAGTTTAGTTTACTTCTGTTGTTAGTTGACTCAAAGTGCTGACGCTGCTAAAAAGATTCTAATGGAGGGCATTGAAAGAGTACCTCACTGCAAATTACTTCTCGAGGTGTGTTATTGGCTGGAAGTTGAAACCTTACACATTTTGGTCACAATTCTCGATATAGCTGTGCCACTTCTCTACGGTATGTTTGATTCCGTTTGACAAATTTCTGAAGCTTCTAACCATGACAGTAAACTGTTACTCTATCAGGAACTTATAAGATTCACAATGACGCATGAAGGGTCTCGGCAAATAGATCTGCTAGATTCTATCATTGATAAGGAAATATCCCACCAGTCAGATTCCTTGAGTGGTTTGAGCGCACAAGACAAAGAGTATATATCAAAGTTATACTTGGAAGTAAGGCCCCTTTTACATTTTAATGACTTAGAACACCGGCCATAAGGCAGCAGTCTTCGTATTTTATTGTCTGAAAGAATTTGTCTCTGTTACTAAGAATTTAGTGTAACGTGAAGCAGCTTATCGACCTCTGTGGAACCATCCATGATGTGAGGAAGGCATGGAAACGGCATGCAAAATTGTTCCCAGATTCTACGGGGCTCAATGCATATGCTTTTCCTGCCGTCTCTGAGAATCCGCTCAAAGGGTTTATGCAGAGAAGACGGGAAAATGTTGTCTGCTTGACCCAGAACCTGTCATCAACAGACAATATCATTGACAATCCGGTTATTTCGCCCCGAAAAGACAAGAAAGAGTTACCTGTAGACTCTGATGGTGTCCGATCCAAAAACACCGCCACTGATCATGGCGATTGTGTTGTTCAGTCTGGCCTTCTTAACAGTCAGCTGAATCCTGATGCTCGGGCCACAGGACTTCAAAGTCCTAAAGAACATGTTGCCCGGAAGGATCAGTGTGAATCTCAACTGTCACTCGAGAGGCTATCACTGGGATATAAGGAGGATGAAGATGAGCATGGTCGTCGAGATGTCAACATGACCAGTAGTCAGCCCATACCAAAAGATGGTCTAGTCACTAAAAGAGCCTACTTCTTGACCAATCCCTCAGGAGGTCGGGAATCAGATGCAATAGAGATCCAACCTAAGGGTGTTCAGAATCAGAATCATCGAGATTCCAATCCCGGGTCTCAGGAGAGACATCCTCAGAGGAAGTTTCAGAGGTTTTCTCCGGTTCCTGGTCAGCACCAGGGTGTAGTCCCTCAGACTCAGAGCTCTGTCTTGCAGAATCATCAGAACCAAAGTACAGTGTCTGCATCTCAGATTCAGGTCCAGGCTCAAACAGCTGTTGCTTACCCTCAAGCTCAGACTGCAGTGCAAAGTAATGAGCAACAAGGACAAACAGAGAGTACTGAAGGGTACAACCAGATGTGGCAGCAGTATTACTATTACTATTACTACTACTATCAACAGCAACAGCTTCTGAATCAACAGCCGCCACAACCAAATTGGAATTCCCAGCTGCAACAGCAGCAGCAGCCAGATCAGAATCTGCCAAATCTTCTTCCAGAACAGCAACAGCAACTGTTGCAGTTACACCAATTTTTCACGTCCCAGCAGCTCCAACAGTCTCAAGTAGAACCACAGCACCCACCATCCCAACAGCAAGAACAACAGAACGCCCTACGGTCGCCAATCCAGCAGAGCCAAGAAGAACAACAGCACATTCAGTTCCAGCAGCAACACCAGTGGCTCCTGCAGCAACAACAACAACAACAACAACAGTGGTTTCTGCAACAGCTACAGCAACTGCAACAACAGCAGCCGCAGCAACAGCAACAGCAACCATGTCCACAACAGCAACCATCCTGTGAACAACATCAACAACAACAACAACATCATCTCTACCTCCAATATCAGCAGCAGCAGCAGCAGCAGGGGGAAGAAAGACAAGACGAGCAGAAGCTTTCTGTCTGTGTCTCAGATTCCCAAAAAGGGACAGTGACAGACGAGAGGTATGGTCAACCAAACCAGACCAAAGTACATATGTATATAGCCTCAGAACTCTGTCTAAGAATATGATCATCCACTTTGTAGGGAGTCGGGACAAGAACATGGAGCAGGCTATGCGTCAGTTCTATCCAAGTCAACTGGAAGCCATGGCTGATCATCACTAGTTCAAATGCTGCACCATATGATGTATCTCTGCATTTTTATGCGTGATTATATATATATATATATATATATGTATATAAATATATATATATGTTTTAGCTTAGTACTTGTGAACTTATTTAACATTATGCTCGAAAAGAATATCGTCTAGAGTCGTGAAATTGACGTAGTAGTAGCAACATTTGGAGAATTAGCCTTTTTCTTAGAGATATGGCTTTTGACTGACAATCATATCATCCAATTCTTTTTTGGTTATATGAGTCTTGAGCGTGAGTAATAAATTAAGTAACTTAATTAAATAAATTAAAGTAATTAGTGCAGCAAAGAGCCGTTTTCGATCGCACAATTTCTTGTGGTTATTTTTGTGGCAAATGTATACTTTGGGGTATTTTTTAGAAATATTGAAGAAAAGCATGGAAAAAATGGAAACAAAAATAAATAAAAATCGAGGAGATGAACACGCGTCGAAAGATACTGGCGAGTAGCTGAGCTGGGTAAGATGTACACGTGGCGGAATCCTAGAGGATGAAAAGCGCCCACCAAGAGAAGTGATCGCAGCCGTCCATTTCGTCCAATAAGAATCGTCATACGGCTTCTCTCTCTGTATTGACCGTTCGTGGAAGTTATGTGAGAGAAACCCACAGAGACGGAGGAAAAAAAAAAAGGAACTTCCTGCTCCTCAGGTTGGTCTTCTTCCTCGTCTTTTTTCTCCAGCACAATCTACTTCTTTCTTCTTCTTCTTTTATTTTTTATTTTTTTTGTTTGATTTTACTTCTACTGTTTTTGTCCTCATCTGTACTGTTTGATTTCGATTTCGCCTTCTGGTGTTTGTGTTTTTTTTTCCCGTTCTTTTTGCTGCTATGATTGTGAGGATCGCTGAATTCTTCAAAATCTGCCATTTTCAGCTGAATTTTCTCGATTGTTTTCCTGGGTTTCCTAGGTTTCTGTTCACTTTGGTTGATTTTGATTTTGGGTTTTGCTTCTCTTTTTGGTTCTTCGCTTACGCGCTCATTTTGATATAGTTGTCGTTCGGATTACGTTTGAGGATAGGCTGTGTTGGCGAAAGAAGACAACTTGGTTCTATTATTGGCTCAGCAGAAGTTGTTCCAGAAGGATCTTTAGGAAAACTAGAGAGAAAATCTCAGGAAACTTTGAATGTTATTGCTGAATTATACCCATAGAACTCAACACAAAACCCCTGATTCCGTTTTACGAGCCTATTTGATTTTTGTTTCTCTTGTGCTCAACGTTATCTCGATTTTTTGGTAGGGTTTTTCCGACTTTCTGAGTTGGAATTCCATTTTTAGAAGAATGTGAAGTTTTGATTTTGTTTCCCTGCTTGATTCGTTTACGTCTTCACCATATTGGCAAAAAGGCCGCTTTGTGAAAGTAATAAGGGTTTTCTTTAGGATTTGTTCACGTTTTCCCTGCTTGACTTTGTGTTTTGTCTGTCTACTTGATTGTCTTTTACGATCCGATTTCATATCGTTTTTAATTTGATTAGAGGCAAGGAGTAGGTTAGTCTGATGGTTCAGCAAGCTTCTTGATTTTGTTCAGCCTGGATCGATTGTGTTAAGCTCTGAATTCTATGGATCCAATGATTTTGCTGACCATTGCATTTCTCTGTTCCATTTGATTTTCACTCCGAGGGTTAAGTTTCACAGTTAGTCTCTCTTGATTTATTGAGTTAATTGTCTTTAATTCCTTCTTGCTTTTTGAGTTTCAGACTTGAAGTTTGCAATTTGCTTATGATTGTTGTCTCTGTTTTGCAACATTTGCTGCTGGATTGATCTCCAGAAGGTTCTGTTGCGTCCGATGTGCTCGATCCGAGGTTGCTATTGTCCTAGGTACAGTGCAAATGCCATGTTTAGAAATGAAGAGCAAAATAAGCAAGGGATCTTCAAGAGAAAAAAGGGTTCTTGGTGTTTGTAAGAAACCTAACGTGATATCGAGAAATTCATCCTCTGAGTGCGATACCGTGGTGAAACCAGAAGATTCAGCCACGGCAACTCATACTTTGCATGGTGGTGAACAACATGATTCTGGTAGGTTCGATTCCTTAGGTTAAGTATTTGCTCTGTTTGTTTGAACAGTCCCATGGTATGGTTTTTTTTTGCTTAGTAAATTCGTTTCTGTCTTGTTCGATGGTTGGTGTGGTTTTCATCTTTTTCTTCTTGTTCTATCAATTTGTTTTACTGATCATATCCCCTCCTCTGATGTTTCTGTTAGTCTCTTCAGGTTTGGATACCCCTGCCCGGGATTTCGAAACCAATGAACCAGTAGATATGCTCGTCGAAAACAGATCTCAGTCTCAGGCATTTGCGTCCCCTTTTGATGGTTCCAGATCTGCAGAAAAAATGGTAAAGCTTTGGTGAAAGAAGCTGGTTAGATTTTGTGCTTAATTTCTTTTGTGGATTAATGTATGCATTCATGTGCAGGAAATCACTTGTAATTATAATTCAAACTCGGAGACAATATTTTCGCCTGTTCTGAATGATGAACTGGATGCTCAAACTGATCCTGGTATGCCATTCTGGTACAGTTTGGATCTAAGTTGGCTTTGATCGAACACTTACTTAAGCTCATCGATGTCATTTCCCTTTATGCTTTTGGCAGGAAACATTGCGCAGTGGGAGTTGGCCGGGTGGGGAGCTGATGAGAGCGGCAACAAAATTTCCTTAGACAATCAAGCTTGCAATGTTTCGGATTTCTTTATTTCTGATGTGCTTATTGCAAGCTTACCGTTCAATGAGAATGGAGCTGATGACGTTTTCGCCGAGATAAGCCCTTTGCCTCATTATATGTTTCCAGAGCCAAGTGTTTTGCTTGATGTAGCTGAGCAGTACATGCTATTACCTTACCTAGAAGATGGATCAACAAGCACAGATGATATCAAGTCAGATGAAGAAGACAGCAGGATTAATGTTGATAACCATGACTTATTTCTGGAAAACAATTGGAGAAGTTCCCACAATGCGGAATCGGAGGTTCATGCTGAAGCTGAGCAAGCTGAAGAGTTTGACCCGCAACTTTTTATAAAAAATCAGCCGGAACTATCCAATGTTGTATCGAATTATTGGCCTGATCTGCAGCCAAGGGATATCCAAAGAAGGAAGGTTGTGACCCTTGTTCTTGATTTAGATGGTATGGACCCTACTCAGTCTAAACTTCAACAATAGCCCCCCATCACGAATTTATTCATCTTAACAGTTGTTATATTGAATCATGCCTTAGAAACAAAAATTTGGACTCCTGGGCATGTTTCTGATATATTTTAAAGAATATCTGCTCTATCTCGGGTAGTATGAAAGGCATTCATAATGTCTTCGAAAGTTAGTTGCAAACAGAAAGATATGATGTAGCTCTTCTATGTTTGCCGTCTTTCACTGCCCAACTTACCGAACATTTTAATCTAAAATGCAGAAACCCTGGTCCATTCCTCTCTGGAACCCTGCAACGATGCAGACTTTACCTTCAGAGTCTTTTTCAATATGCAAGAGAACACAGTATATGTGAAACAGAGGCCTCACCTTTACAGGTTCTTGGAGAGGGTGGTAGAATTGTTTCATGTTGTTATCTTCACGGCAAGCCACAGCACCTATGCCTCACAGCTTCTAGATATATTGGACCCCGATGGAAAGTTCATATCTCAACGTTTTTATCGTGACTCATGCATTCTTTCAGATGGAATTTACACCAAGGATTTAACTGTTTTGGGTCTTGATCTCGCAAAAGTTGCTATTGTCGATAACTGTCCGCAGGTAGTGTCTCGAGGCCTTGCCCTTTACATTTCAGATTGGAGTTTATTCCGTAAAAGTTCATTCTTGAGTTTTTGCATGGGGACCCTTCTCATTTTCCTTCTGACCATGAAAACTTTTTCCTTTTTTGGTCATTTTCAGGTATACAGATTGCAAATAAACAATGGGATACCTATCAAAAGTTGGTATGATGATCCAACTGATGATGGCCTAATTTCTTTACTTTCCTTCTTAGAGACTTTGGCTGATGCCGATGATGTCCGGCCTATCATTGCCAGGAGATTCGGTAACAAGGAATAAGAAATCCCTTCTGTCTCCTCTATACCTTTCCTTGAGTGCAGATTCTGAATTTTTAATTTTTATTTTCTCAGTAGCTCATTAATTACTTAACCGTAGAATAATCTCAGTGATTGTAGAGTAAGTAAGCTCTTCTTGGTTACTTTTTTTAGAACCTTCTGTATAGAAAACCCTAGTGTGTCTTTATCCTATTCTATTGCTTGGTTCTCCTCTGCCAAGAAGATAGATTCTAGGAACGTTGTTCTAAATGTACAGTTTCTGAAGCTTAGATACTGGATTTGTATATATGAACTGTTTTGGTGTGAAATCAATTTTTGCATATTCAGAGCTCTTCTTTTGCATCTGTTTTTGGACTTCTCTTACAATGTTATTCGTTACCTTTTGATACTCCGGGCATTGATATCATATGCCAATGAGAAAATCTTTAGGTGATCCAAACTTGCTGATCAGAGAAAATGTTAGAAATGAAAGAAAAGTACCGCAGGTTAGTCGTGGAGATAATTTTGTTTATCATAGAAGAATGCGTTTTTTACTCCAGGTTTATAGCTTCTAGGCATCATTTTGATGGTACTGAGCCAAGGTATTTTTCCCTTTCGAATCTCGGCTTTGGAGCCATGAGAATAGGTAACATACATATGAGGAGGGGATATGGGTAATGGCTTGTGGCTTAAAGTATGGTATAATATAATTTCCCTATTAAAAGTTTTTTCATGATTTTGCATGCCTTATGTGCAGATCATCCAAAGAACCTTACTAAATATTATAAGGTTAAGGAATGAGCTGAGTAGGTATGTCAATCAATTTTTGCTTCTCTATACTTCCTTCAAACTATCTATACATACATCTCTGATACATACATAGCAATATATATATATATATATACACATCTTCTTTTTTGCTTTTATGGTTTCTGATTCATTTTCTCCAATGTTCTTGTTGTGTCTCCAAACCAAGCCATGTAATTTATTCACATTGAAAGTAACCTTTCCAACATCGGTAACCTTCCTTCTGTGTTTGTCTGTTTCTTCCCATTGTTTCTTCTTGTAAGAAATGATTAGGAGAAAGGAGGTTGTATATGTCAATGTACATATGCTCTCATTCATATCATAGATGTGTGTTGCTTCTGTTTGTGTTCCATGTCTTGTATCAGTCTCAGTTCCTGGTAATGTCCGTACTCGTACAGTACTGGTTTCAAAGGTATATATGATAGTTACTCCATGCATGAATCCAACGCTGTCCGCGTCAATATCCACTGCGTTTGATTTTGGTTGTAGTTAAATCTCCACATGTTCTTTTCTCAGTGATAGGACAGGAAAATTTATGAACAGGGGCAGCAGCTTTTCAGTTTTATTAGCCGACGCTCGTTCTGGTTAAAGAACAACCGATGTAAGAACCGGACTAAACCGGTTTTTTTGAGCTTTAAACCGGACGACCCATGTAGAACCGGTCGATTCGGTTAGATTTTTCTATCTTTGAATCGGCACAATTTGTCAATATTAGGCAGTTTTTGTTCGACTGCGTCATCATCCGACCGACATGGTTCATGAGAACAGAAAAAAAAAGAAGAAGATTAAACAGTACAGAGAAAAGTGTCCGAATGTACGCAGGGAAGCAATTGAGGGCAGACAAAAAAGGCAGGAGAATCTGAAGAGGACGAATCCGAAAAAATCTCTTATCTGCATATGATAAAAAGAATCAGCTTTCTCGGTTCCTCTTCTTCATCGACATGATCGTCTGTTCATAAAATCTCGCACGCCCAGATGGGGTTCGATGATTCTGCATCTGCTACCAGCAACATGAAGCCCGTCGGAAATTCCAGACCCGACCGGAATGTTGCTCAGTACACAGCCGACGCCGGTATCTTGGCCGAGTTCGATCAGTCAAATTCTTCTGGCAAGTCATTCGACTACTCAAAATGGATCATTTCACCGCCGCTTACTGTTTCTGATGAACAGATCACGGCCTATTTATCTAAAATCCAGAGGGGTGGGTTTGTCCAGCCGTTTGGCTGCATGCTTGCTGTGGAGGAATCTGGTTTCCGGATACTGGGCTGCAGCGAGAATTGTGTCGAGATGCTTGATCTGTGTGTGGGTTCGAGCTTTCATGGCAGTGGGTTCGAGTTCAAAGATGTGAAGGGCTTGATCGGAAGCGATGCAAGAGCACTTTTCGAGCCGTCTTCTGGCGCTTCCTTGGCAAAAGCTGCTTCCTTTGCGGATATTTCGCTGTTGAATCCGATTTTGGTTCATTCTAGAACGACCCTGAAGCCATTTCACGCCATACTTCACAGAATCGATGTGGGAATCGTGATTGATTTGGAGCCCACTAAATCCGGAGACCCTGCCTCGATGCTTGCAGGGGCGGTTCAATCTCAGAAACTAGCCGTACGGGCCATCTCTAGGCTGCAGTCTCTGTCGGGGGGAGACATAGGTGCTTTGTGCGATACAGTCGTGGAGGATGTGCAGAGGCTTACAGGTTATGATCGGGTCATGGTGTATAAATTCCATGAAGATGATCATGGCGAAGTTGTGTCTGAGATCAGGAGGTCTGATTTGGAACCTTACATGGGCTTACACTACCCAGCAACCGACATTCCTCAGGCGGCGCGTTTCTTGTTCAGACAGAACCGTGTCCGAATGATCTGTGACTGCAGAGCGACACCGGTCAGGATCATTCAGAGCGAGGAACTCGACCAGGCGGTCTGTTTAGTCAATTCAACGCTGAGATCACCACACAGTTGCCATACTCAGTACATGGCTAACATGGGCTCTATAGCTTCTCTTGTGCTTGCAGTCATGATCAAAGACAAGGACTTGACCAAGCTCTGGGGTCTGGTAGTGGGTCACCACACTTCACCGAAATACGTGGCCTTCCCCATCCGATATGCTTGCGAGTTCCTGATGCAAGCCTTTGGCCTGCAACTGCATATGGAGCTACAGTTGGCTGCTCGGTTAGCCGAGAAGAAGGTCCTGAAAACGCAGACCCTTTTGTGCGAAATGCTTCTCCGTGATACGGTTTCGGCTATTGTGACTCAGTCTCCGAGTATAATGGACATTGTCAAGTGTGATGGAGCTGCATTGTACTACAAGGGGAAGTGCTGGTTAGCGGGTGTGACTCCGAACGAGTCACAGGTCAAGGATCTCGTCAATTGGATGCTCGAGAATCACGGTGATTCCACCGGGTTGACCACTGTCAGTTTGGTAGATGCAGGTTATGGTGGTGCCGCTTCGCTTGGAGATGCGGTTTGTGGAATGGCCTCTGCCCGGATAAGTTTGGATGATTTCTTGTTCTGGTTCAGGTCACATACCGCGGATGAAATCCAATGGGGAGGAGCCAAGCATCAACTTCTGGATAAGGACGATGCTAAAAAGATGCAACCGAGGTCATCCTTTAGGGCATTTCTCGAAGTGGTGAAAAGACGGAGCTTGCCGTGGGAAATCTCGGAGATCAATGCTATTCACTCCCTGCAGGTCATATTGAGAGAGACGTTTCAGAATAATGTGCAAGAGGGCGGGTCTGGGTCAGTTTCCGGGCTAATGCCGAGCGATGCCATGGTGAAAGACGTGAACAAGCTGACTTCCTTCGTGTGTGAAATGGTTAGGCTGATTGAAACGGCAACTGCGCCCATTTTCGGGGTGAATTCATCCGGCTGTATCAATGGCTGGAACCCTAAAGTTTCGGAATTGACAGGGCTGCTGGCTAGTGAAGCCATGGGGAAGTCTCTGACTAATCACATTGTTCGAAGTGATTCAGGTCCAGCTGCTGAAACTCTTCTCTCCAGAGCCTTACAAGGTGATATACAAACAAGAACATGATTCCTCGGACAAAGCTTTCCCGAGTTCTTATCCATTTTTTCTTCTTCTGACAACATTTGCATATGTTTTTCTCAGGTGAGGAGGACAAAAACGTGATGTTGAAGCTGAGAAGATTCAGGAACGGGCAGCCGGATTCTTCTGCTGTGTGTGTTCTAGTCAATGCTTGCACCAGTCGGGATTACACAAACAAGATCATCGGTGTTTGCTTTGTCGGCCAAGATCTCACAGGCGAGAAAACAATGACGGATAAATTCATAAGACTGCAAGGGGACTACAGGACTATCTTTCAAAGTCCCAATCCATTGATCCCGCCGATATTCGGGTCAGATGAGAATGCATGCTGTTCAGAATGGAATGCAGCCATGGAAAAGCTTACCGGCTGGCCAAAGCACGAGGTTATCGGGAAAATGCTCCCCGGTGAAGTTTTCGGGGGCATTTGCAAGGTGAAAGATCCGGATTCTCTTACAAAAGTCCAGATTTCGCTGTACCGTGGGATTACAGGCCAAGGGTCGGAGAAATCGCTGGTGGGGTTTTTCAGCAGGGATGGCAAGTACCTCGAGGCGTTCTTGACGGCCATTAGAAGAACTAATGCAGAAGGGAACAAGCTCGGCTGTTTCTTCTTCTTGCAGACTATAGACAGAGAATCGGATGGAAGCTGGCAAGAAAACAAAGAGAATCTCAAGAGTCTCAATGAGCTGGTTTACATATGTCAGGAAATCAAGAATCCGCTCAACGGGATCCGATTTGCGCATAAACTTCTCGAAGCAACCGATATGTCAGAAAACCAGAAGCGGTTTCTGGAGGATAGCTATGCCTGTGAGAGACAGATTGCAACGATAATCGAGGGAACTGACACGAGAAACATTCAGGAAAGGTAACAATGTCTGAAAGAACAAAACCTATTGGAGGAGGAGGAGAAACACAAAATCTTTTTCCTGTAACGTTACAGTTTGAATCTGACATCATGTTCTTGCTGAAACAGAAAGTGGAAGATGAAAGTGGAGGAGTTCTTCCTCGGAAGGGTTTTGGACACAGTCATCAGCCAGGTCAAGGAGCTAATGGACGAGAAGAACTTACAGCTCGAGCTCGAGGTCCCTGAATGGATCAAAGCTCTTCCACTCTATGGCGACAGAGTTTGGCTTCAACTCATCCTCACAGATTTTCTGCGCAATTCAGTGAATCACACTCCATTTCCAGATGGGTGGGTAAAGATCAAAATCTCATCTGTAGGTGACAGTGACCATTATATCAGTCTGCAGTTCAGGTAAGAACACTTTTTTCAGACAAATCTCAGTTAAAACTCCTCTGTAACTTTGATGGGTCTTTAGTTCTTTGCTTTCTTGTCCAATTTTGATGCAAATTCATCAACCATGACCATTGTTGAAACCTGCATGTATGGTGGTATAGTTATGGTGAATGCCCATTATGCAGGATGATACATCCAGGGAAAGGGATTCCATCAGAGACGGTGTCGGATATGTTTGAGGGTGGTGGAGATATATCGAGCTCGCCTGATGGGTTAGGGCTAAACTTCTCAAGGAAACTGCTGGAGCGAATGAATGGTCGTGTCAACTATGTCAGAGAACAGGACACATGTTACTTCTGTGTGGATCTTCAACTTAGGACAGCCAAGGAAGAAGATACAGACATGAGAACTGAAGCTGGTTCTAGCAAAATCACTTAGAATTTCTTTTACATCATCTCTCCCCTTTGTTCCATAATGCTTGTTGCATAAAATAAGTCACTGTCGTGGAGTTTTGCCTGCAAATCGGTTCGGAAAGAGTTCCAAAGACTTGACGTCTTAGGTGGTTGACCTTGACCATCGGCGTGGAGGCTTATTACGGAAATGCCATTACCGACGAGAGTTTTCTCTTGCCACGTCAGCATCGATCAACGTGGTCAATTACGGAAATGCCATTAAGTGAAACATTGCCCAATTAATGTTTGGGCCTAACTGAATTTGGGCCTGTTTCGAGAAAGCTATTCTCTGCATCGAATGGTCCATAATCGTTTAAAAAGACAACTTCGGAATCCAACCGTTGATCTTGCTTACTATATCTGTTTTCTTCTCAAAATTACAGTTTTACCATTGGCCAAATGCATCGAACGGAAAAAACCCTAGCGTCTCCTTTTTATAAGGACTATCTTAATTCTCCATAGCCAGAGCTCGACGGCGGAGGAAGCTCGCAAAATCAGATCACCGTAAGATCTCTCTCTCTCTCATATGAGCAGATTCTTAGTTATTTGCTGAATCGTTTTGAGCTCAGCAGGGAGGAGCAGAAATGGCGGTCCCGTTGCTGGACAAGAAGATCGTGAAGAAGAGGGTCAAGAAGTTCAAGAGGCCTCAGAGCGACCGCAAAATCTCCGTCAAGGTACTGAACTTGGAATTCATGTCTCTTTTTATACCGATTTATTCGTCGAAATTTCTCTGGATGCACACGGAAATCATGTCTCTTTACTGCTTCTTTGTTCAACAGACTGTTTTTTCTTCTTCTGAAGAATCCAGCTTTTTTCTCTCTTTTTTGGATATGATGATAAATTTGTCGCCCCAGTCTTAGTTGCATCTTTTGGATGCAATATGGTGAGTGACGTATAGTATCTGATTCAACTCTTACTATGGTTTATGGAAATCATGTACCTTGATTTCTAAAGTGTTTGAGTGGTATATATTCATCTGTGTTATTGTGAATTATTTCTACATTCAGACACGATGATAGTTTCTTTGACACCCAGTCTGGGTCAAGCTTAAGCTGCCATGGTGATCATTAGCTTTTTTTAATCCCTCGTTAGGATGTTTCTATTTTGTTGATTTGGTAATTGTCATAAGATATGTAGATCATCGTTTCTTAAACATTCTGTCATTTGACACCTGTTTCGATTCAGGAGAACTGGAGGAGGCCAAAGGGTATTGATTCTCGGGTTCGTAGAAAGTTCAAGGGATGCACCTTGATGCCCAACATCGGTTACGGGTCCGACAAGAAAACCCGTCATTATCTCCCCAACGGATTCAAGAAATTCGTGGTCCACAATGCAAGCGAGCTCGAGCTACTGATGATGCACAACAGGTTTTACTTAAGCATTAGATCTATTTGCACTATTGAATACCCTCTGAGATATGTGCCACAAGAAACAGCCAGCGTTTGAATGGATCATATTTCTAGATCTATTATGGTGAAGTATATGGTCTTTACCGGTTTTTTGATGGTGGCTCTTCAGGACTTACTGTGCCGAGATTGCTCACAATGTCTCGACAAAGAAGAGAAAGGAGATTGTGGAGAGAGCTGCTCAGCTTGACGTTGTCGTCACAAACAGGCTTGCCAGGCTTCGTAGCCAGGAGGATGAATGAAGTGAAGTGTTATGATTTAGGATCGTTTTATGTCTTGTGGTGTTTTGAGAGAGATGCTACTTTGCTTTTGTCTTTGGCAGTTTTGATTACTGGTTTGTGTTACTTTGAGTTACAGAATCATTTATAACATGGGCTTCTTGTCTGGTTTTAAATTTTAATATGAAACAGAACTTCGGTCCCTCTATCTGTTATCTCTGGTTGGGACTTGGATCTATAGTAGGACTATAGATACATATGTATATGTATATATATATATATTTGTAGTAGTAATTCGATCTGGTAATGGGTATGAGTTATATATGCTTATGTCATGCATGGTTTTTTTTTTTCAATCAAGGAGGTGTTCTTAAATGCATGAAAAAGTGAACATATTCGTGCACAGAAATTAAGAAAGTGCTAAAGCAAGCGAAATAAGCTAAGAATCTTATCAAGTTTTCCAAAGGAGGTTTTAATATTTTGATAATTTTGCCCTAAGAATGAAGCAATGTATATATTTGAAAAATCTGTCTAAAAACCTTTACAACCTGACAACCGAGAAAACCTAAGCAGCCTTAGCCAAGAAAAGCATCCAACACTTTTCATATATATATATATATATATGTATGTACATATATGTGTGTGTATAAACCATCTCAAATCTCTTTAAAAACGTACCATTATACAAAGACCTAGGACAGAGAATTTCTGTCAGTAAAAGAAATGGCAGATCAACAGATGAGACCAGTGGCGTCTTTCCTTCTGCTGCTGAATTTCTGCATGTACGCCATTGTTCTTGGAATCGGAGGATGGGCCATTAACAAAGCCATCAACCATGGCTTCGTCATCGGTATATATATACTTCTCTTCCCTCTCTCTTACCCTTTACCAAAAAACCTTAGATTCTTTTTTTGTTGTTGTTGCAAAAACCCTAGGTGCGGATTTCAGCCTTCCTGCCCATTTTTCGCCGATACATTTCCCGATGGGGAATGAGGCCACCGGATTCTTCGTGACGTTCGCATTGATCGCCGGAGTCGCCGGAGCTGCGTCGGTTATCTCCGGCGTCAACCACCTACGTTCTTGGACTCCGGCGAGTCTTCCGGCGGCCTCCACCGCCGCAATCATTGCTTGGTCACTCACCCTCCTCGCCATGGGGTCAGTAAATCATTATATACACACACACGACATACGTTACTTGTTCCGCAAGTCAACACCCGAAGAAAAAAAAAAGCCACGATCTGCACAATATAATATATCTTTATGGCCATGCAGATTTGGCTGCAAGGAAATTGAACTCGAGATAAGGAATGCTCGACTGGTGAGTAAAACCCCAGAATCTACACTAAAGTTTATGGTGTTGTGTGTGTAATATGTATAGATACATATACATATATACATATATATGTATTATAATTAATGATAATGATGATCGATGTTTTATTTTTCGGCAGAGGACGATGGAGGCATTTCTGATCATACTCTCCGCAACACAACTTGCATATATAGCCGCCATTTATGGAGCTCGAACATGAAAAATACGACTGCTTCTAAAATTTGTTTGATTGCAGAGAAAAAGATGATCGTTAATTTGGTGTGCCATATTATTTCTTTTTTTTTTGTCTTTTATTTTCTCCTTCTTCTTCTCCCTAACTTATATATTATGTGTGTGTTGTGTGGTTTGGATTTTGATTGATTGGACTTGTACTTAAAAAAAATAATAATATATATTTGTGAAAGAGAGAAAGTTTTATGTATTATAAGTTCACCAAATAAGGTTTAAAACCTTAATTCACACATCCAACAACATAACCGACCAGAAAAAAAAACAAAGAAGAGAGAAATGTAAGAAAGGTAAAATAGCTGTAACTGAAGACAAAAGAGTCAAAATACACAAAAGCTGCAACTGCTAATAATCACAGTACCTTTTTTTACTGCTACTAAATTACCTTTTTGGCAATTCTCACATGAAAATGCTTCGTAAAGTCTCGGACTTTTCGCCAACAAGGAGGGGAACCGAAGATCCTCTAACTGCCACAGCGGCTTCCTTCCATTGTCTGAAAACGGTTGGCTCTGCAACAGATTATACCATAAAAAGATTTTTCTTTTCATGCACTCAAATCACGAATTCAGAGGCGAATTGCTAAATATGAGAAAACAAGAAACACCATATCATTCTGTTCAACCCGGCCATTATTGACGCATATAAGCTTGATTTGCTTTGTATATCTATCTATCTATCAAGATTTAGAGAATCCGTTTTAGATGTTATTTCCGACAAGCAAGAATCAGTGATCAACATTGAAGAACAAAACCCACTTACAGAACCCATCAAGTATATAAAGCCTTAGTGCATCATTTGCATTCATGAAGCCGGTAGACCAGATACTGACTGGTTCAGCTATAACTGTGTTTTAAGAGAAAGAAATCAATGGTGAAGGCGCACAAGTTTATAGAAACGCTTACCCGAGTTTTAATTTCTGGACCCTGTTATCACATCAAACAAGCCACAGCAACTTAACCACGATGTTCTCCGGGCGATACCGAGTGGTGGTCTCACTGGAGCCTGAGAAGGGGTAAAAAACAAGAACGAGTTCAGTTTCAGTTCTTGGTAACTAGGAGGAAAGAAGAATGAATGAATCAGATCAGACAAAAATAAAGGGTAAGGAGGAAATACATCTGTCTCATGAGATATGGGAACCTCGGATTCTTTGATGCCTTCAGGAACACCACTGTTTTCGGATACAGGTAATTCTTTCAGGTCAGAATCAATTCCACCTGAAGAAGCCACTCTATTCTCGTCAGATGCAGAGAAATCTTTGGCGGTGTTCTCATTTACATTAGGTAACGATTCCTCTACACCCACATTCGAGATCGAGACCACCTTATCAACTGCTGAGGCTACAGAACCTTTCTCTGATATATTCTCTATCTGAATCTGTTCCTCAGATACCTTCAGTAACATTTTGCCCTCGTCTTCCTTCAGGTCGGAATCAATTCCACCTGAAGAAGCCTCTCCATTCTCGCCAGATGGAGAAAAATCTTCGGCCGCATTCTCATATATGTTAGGTAACGATTCCTCTTCATCCACATTTGAGATTGAGACAACCTTATCAACTGTTGAGATTACAGAAGCTTTCTCTGATATATTCTCGATTTGAATCTGTTCCTCAGAGTTGGGCTCATCGATCATAGTTGATTCCAATCGAGCATTTGCAGCAGCAGAAGAAGAAATTGCTTGTTTTGACAAAGAATTTGTAATTACTTCAGCAGCCATGTCCCCTGCCTCCTTGTCATCTCTCTTCTCAATTTCCTGAGATTCATCATCCGAACTGCTGCTGCTGCTGCTACTGCTGCTAGAGCTCTTGTCCTGTTCAGGGATTGAATCAATGACCTCTATGTTCTTCTCAGGTTTCAGTTCCTTTTCGATTTTGATGGAGTCTTCCTCAATGAATCCAGAAGCTTCTTTCACAGGTTCCTCTTCCTCCATGGTTTTGAACTGATGGTTATTCTCATTGTCAAGAGATGCCGGGGAATTAACACTATTGTCACTCTCCCTCTCTTCTTGGCTTCTCGGATCATCGTTTCCTAGAACAAGGTTTAGGACAAAGCCAATTACTTGCCAGCATAGAAGGGCAGCAATCAAACATTACAACATCCTAAGAGGAATTGAAACTTAATCTCTATCCTCATAGAGACTAATCAAGTCATTTTCATCCATCAAATCTCCGGACATGAACAACTACCAAAACCCAAAAAGTTATCGATCAAAGCAGAATTAGCCAAAACCCCGAAAAACCACAATATCTCGATCATATGGAATAGCAAGAGCAGCTTTAATCGTGAATCCAGCAACCCAAACAAACAATCCCAAGTGATACAAAATCTAGAGCCAATCAAGCAGAGAGAAGAAACCCTAAAAAACAGTACCAACCAAAACGAGATTCGACCTCACGCATTAGCATCTATGAATATGATAAAATGAACCAGGAAAATCAAACATCAAAAACCCAATCGAAAGAAGCGGAAGGAAGGAATTATCATATACCCATTTGCTTGAATCACAAAATCACACTATCAAAATCTGAAGTTTGTAACCTATATATAACGAATCCGCTGAAACCCAGATCAAACCGAAGCCGATAATCAAATTAGGTACCTCAAAAGGACCCGACAGCAACACCATAAAAAACGTTAACGAGTGATTGAATAATTGAGATACAGACAGGCAAGCGGAAAAAGCAAAAGCAGAAACTAGTGGATTACGGGCTGTGAAATTCACAAAAAATAAGGGATTTAGTGTAAAAAATTTTGAAAGTACCATGGTTTGATTTGGTGGAGATGGTGATTTGATTGGAAGCTTGTTCCTTCTTTTTCCTGGCAGCTTTCCTCTTCTTAGCACCCGAAGGCATGATTAAGGGATTCTTCTAAGCCTGTTGGGATCTCTACAGCTATGGCGGATCGTGGCTTCTCTCTCTCTCTCTCTCTCTGTAAAAAAAAAAATGTTTGTGATGATTTTTTTTCTTCCTGAAATGCGAAGTTTCGAAAATCAAATCGTACAAGTGGGAAACTCTGGGTATTGCAATTTAGTATTTATACTCTCTAATTATTTTTTATTTATTTTCCATTTTAACAAACCTATAACTGAAACCAAAGCTAATTTATTGTTTTGGATTATCTAGTTTTTTTTTATATAATTATTTTCCTTCTTTTTTTTCGGAAAATTAATTTGTCGAAATGGTATAATGTGGTATTTTTCTTGTACTATTAATTAAATAGATATTATATTAATGTCACCCATTTTATGATGTGACTAATATACATAGGCATACAAATTTCTGAAATTAATCATTGCTAATAGAACTGGTAATATTATATTTACGAACTTTATATTTGTCCACTGTCATATTGCAACAATATGTTGTTTATATTGATAAACTATATTATATTAGTTGGAAATCTTTCACTAAGATAATGATTAGCCTCCAGGTCTTATCTTAATTCTCACACGGATACATAATTGTATGTTGTTTATATTGATAAACTAAATCATAATTAAACCAAAGATTCGCATTTATTTCGGTTTCTGATTATCTTGCTAACGATTTTTTTGTTAAGATTTTTTTTCTACGAGGCAAAAAGAGTTATAATAGACAATAGGGCACGTGGTTTTAATTAATTTTAGAACGATACATGGTGGTTAAGTTTTTTTTTTTTTTTTTTTTGCCGTTTCAATCTGTTTGAATTTTCTCGAAGACGATGGATTTTGGTAGAAAAATTGCGATATTTAATAAAACAAAACTAAATTTGAAACCACTAACGCATGTAAGTGCGAGTCTATATCATTGGTTATTAAAACCATGAGTTGGCGTTGGATATAATTCGTTAATTTCTGTGAAAAATCTATAATTTTTAATTAAAATTAGCAAATTATATCATATCATCACATTGAGACGGAATTAATAAATCTTATTAAAATAAATAAAGGGAGAAGAATATAGCATGCACAACTATATATATATATATATATATTAAATTCCCATAGTATTCTATGCTATTTAATAATGTCTTCACATTTATTTTTTTTATGGGATAATTCCATTTAAAACTCTGTACTTTTTTCTCGTCGTAATTTAAACCCTATATTTTTTTTATCCAAAAAAATATTGTATTTTTAAAAATTGGCAATTAAAACTCCATACTTTTAAAAATTGGCAAATAAAACCCTGAACGAAAAAATATATTATTTAATGCTGACATGACATCCTAGTCATCTGCCACATCATCAATCCCTAATATTTAATAATATTAATTAATATAAAATAAAAATAAAATATTAAAAATAAAATATTAAAAATAAAAATAAAATTTTAAAAATTATACACATACATATATAATGAAATGATATACATATATACACATATATAAAAATATTTATATATATACACACATAGGGAAAAATACATATATAACACATACATATAAAACATATAATAATTATACACATATATAGATATATATGTATCATATGTATATATATGTATATATGTATATATAAATATATTTATATATGTATATAATTTTAAAATTTTTATAAACATGTTTATTATATGTGTATAATTTTATGAATATATATAATTTTTAAAATTTTATTTTTATTTTTATTTTATATTAATTAATATTATTAAATATTAGGGATCGATGATGTGACAGATGACTAGGATGCCATGTCAGCATTAAATAATATTGTTTTTCGTTCAGGGTTTTATTTGCTAATTTTTAAAAGTATAGAGTTTTAATTGCCAATTTTTAAAAGTACAATGTTTTTTTGGATTAAAAAAAAGTATAGGGTTTAAATTGAGATGAGAAAAAAGTATAAGGTTTTAAATGAAATTATCTAAACCCTAAACCCACTTCGAGTCTTCGGCTGACTCCAACCAAACCCCCCGAAGCTTTAACTGAGATTTGACCTTCAAACCGCGCTCAGTACGCGGTAGGGGGGAAACCCTCCCGTTCCGATGTTATATAAAATAGTATTTAGTTTTTGCACAACCAAAAATGTGGCCTCGTCCAATTGTGGCTTAGATCTTTGGGTTTTTTGTTTGGGCTACCGTTGCTCGAATACATTGGGCTTCTTATGGCCTATTATTGAGTTTTAATTCTTTATTGGGCCTTCAGTCTTTCATGGGCCCTTGACCTTATATTAGTATCATGTTAATTCAGTTTTTATTATAATTAGACCATGCTTGGGATTTCGATATTCCCAAAATTAAATATACCCTATTAAAGAAAAAGAATCATTTTTTTTTGTAAAGCCATTGGCTCTAATAATGTAAATTAAATATTCCTAAAAAAACAAACAAAAAGGAAATTGTGGTTGATGTACTTTTTTTTCTATTGAGCTTTGTGAAAAGTCACGGAGACCAAAAAAAAAAAAACGAAGTCAGAACGACGACGTATTGGTCAGAGCACTATATAAGAGATTTATAGGGGTCGAGGGGAGAGAGGCAGTTACTTTTGTCGGAGAAGCTATGGCCGTCGAAGACGCTCCGAGACCTGTCGTTGGCGACGAAGCGAACGCTGATCCTATGCAAAGGCCGGCGTCGAGGGGAGAGAGGCAGTTACTTTTGTCGGAGAAGCTATGGCCGTCGAAGACGCTCCGAGACCTGTCGTTGGCGACGAAGCGAACGCTGATCCTATGCAAAGGCCGGCGGATGGAGCCGATGATGAAATTGAAGAGGCGGAGGAGGGAGAGATCGTCGGCGGGGATGGAGACGGAGATGGAGACATTGACGGAACGCGCAAATCGGAGGCTGCGGCTCCTCAGACGCACCCTCTTGAGCAATCATGGACTTTCTGGTTCGATAATCCGTCTGTAAAATCCAAGCAGGTCACCTGGGGAAGCTCCCTGCGCCCCGTTTACACCTTCTCTACTGCCGAGGAGTTCTGGAGGTGAAATTTCCGTCCCGATATCTCCTCTTTCGATCCTTTTTTTCTTTTGTTTCTGCGTAGATATTTTGGTTGAATGCTGAATTTGTGAGAAAAACGTTATCTGTTGTTGATCGAATTCCAACGTTATTGTGTTGTCTTGACTGTGTTTTGCGATTTGGTCATGCCTTTGCTCGTATGCACATGAAAATTTGGCACTTCTGTATGACAAAAAATCATTGAACTTGAGCTGATATCCGAGCAGAAATTGATATTGGTGAACATAAAAATCGTTCCTTTCCGTGGAAGCCATGCGTTTTTATTCTAGATACCTGCTTGTGGATTGTTTTGGAGTCATGGATAATGGCTTGTTTGGTGGTTTCAGTGAGGGCCAACTTGAGTGGTCTATAAAATCACAAGCTGGTTTGCTTTAAGATCCTGCGCTACAGGAGAGACACACTATCTCCTATGGTTTCTTATAGGATGAGAGTTACACCACAGTATTTCCTCGTCTGTCTGCTGGGCCTTACAAGAATTTTGACTCTAGTAGTGGAGCCTGCTATCTTTTGAGTTAGTTCGAGATTACAGATTTTGGAAGGGTCGTCTCTTTTCTTGTGATATTTTATATTTATGCGGTAACACAACAAATGATGAACAAGCAACCTCTCAGGACATATAAGCTCCGAGTTACGCATGTAAACAGCAATGCTAGTGTTTAGGGTGCCATCTCTTTATTCTGTTTGGTAATGGTTCTATCAGTGGGCGTTTGTGTTGGCTTCTTCATACTATCTATTCTCCATCGTTTCATATTTTCGAATGTTTGTTTCAAAAACAATTCATGCTTTTGCAGCCTGTACAATAACATACGCCATCCAAGCAAGTTGGCCCACGGAGCCGATTTCTACTGTTTCAAACACAAAATCGAACCAAAATGGGAGGATCCTATTTGCGCGAATGGAGGGAAGTGGACCATGACCTTCTCCAAGGGAAAGTCTGATACTTGTTGGCTCTACACTGTATGGGTTTTTACTCTTTTATTAAGTAGCCGAATTCTTCCCAGCTCTATCATCTTCTAGAAGAGAAGAGCTTATTGGCGCCGAATGTTTTTTTTTTCTCATGCGCTTTGTAGTTACTTGCATTGATTGGAGAACAATTTGATCATGGGGATGAGATCTGTGGAGCGGTTGTCAACATCAGAGGAAAACAAGAAAGGATATCCCTTTGGACAAAAAACGCCACCAACGAAGCTGCCCAAGTAAGAAAAAAACCCCCATATCATCAGAATCTTAAGACCATAAGAGAAAACATATTTTCAGTTCTCAGTTCTTGCCATTGGATACAAATTTGTTGCAGGTAAGCATCGGAAGACAGTGGAAGGAGTTTTTAGATTACAACGAGTCCATATGTTTCATCATTCACGTAAGAACTACTACAGATAATCTTCATAGTCGAAGTGCTGTGATGGTGATTTTGCTTTTGAGATCAATGGTCTTTCGGTTTTGGTTTTCAGGAGGATGCGAAGAAGCACGACAGAGGCGCCAAGAGCGCATACACCGTCTAAAGACACAAGACAAAAGCATTAATCTCCCTTCCCTTTCACTGCTGTTTTATACGATCATTCACATTTGCCATGTGTTCCCTGACATTTTTTATATCACATTTAACAGTTTATTCGACAGCATCATTTTCCTTTTTGTCGTCCTATAGACCACGGTTTCAATATATACAAACGCCGAGTTTTCTATATGCAAGGGACAAATGAAAGTTACATTTAAATCTACATATATAGACCAAATGATTGTGTGTGTATATACATATATATTCCATCAGGGTAATCAACTGAGTTACTGTTTCAAAATTTTGCGTGGGAGCGAGCAATAGAGTTGTTACAGTTCACTCTAAAGAATCTCCCCCTCTTCTAAATCAACAACCAAAACAGACAAGTCGGGTTCAATGTCGTCTTCTTTCATGAACAGACCCAACTTCTCAAGCAATCGAGGAAAGGTAGAGCTCATGAGCTTCTCCATCTCTCTCTCCACCCTCCGGTTGTGTTCTTCTTCAATCTTGGCGGCTTCTTCCATCTGTATATACACACACACAAGCCATATGAGAACCCTTTCTTTGTTTTAAAAAAAAAAAGAAACTTTTTTGAGTGAAGAATGGTAAAAACACCTTCTGTAGAGCAAGCCGCTGCTTCTCACGCTCCATCTTCAACTCCGTTTCTTTTTTCTTCCGTGTAGAAGCCTCGGCTGCTCTCACATCTGCTTCGATTCTCGCTTTCTCTGCTTCGATTCTTGCTTTCTCTGCTTCCATTCTTGCCTTCTCTGCTTATTATGAAATGCCCAAAATTTTAGAGAACCCAAATAGAGGTGGAGAAGCAAGTTGTTTTTTCCAGTGTCACATGTGAATGCAGTAATACCTTCCTGCTGCATTCTTTCTAGCCGTTCTCTCTCTTGTTGTAGTTTGATCAGATCAGTACTGCTACAACCCTGCAGGGCGATAGAACAGGATTCTCAGGAATATATGCGTATTGCAACCTATCAAACACAGATAAAAACTTGCCATTGATTAATATTTATAATTGTGATGGGATCGATGCCAGGAGAAGAAATCATTACATTAGCAAGAGCTTTTCTCTGTTTGGCTTTCATGATGGTGTCAGAAAATCGGCACCTGAGCATTGCAGCACGAAGAGCCTTTGGAGATAAGGGCGCACCATCGGTTGTAGTCTTCAAATCTGCAACCAGAAGAGAAATCTTAAGAAACCAAACTAAACAAGAGTGTCACTCAAAGTCATTAACAAGAACAATCCTCACCTATGTCCGATGAAAGGCCGTCTGAAGGTTTCTGAAGCTGAGAACTTTGGCAACCATTTTCCTCCTCCATTGAACTCACCCATCCTTCATTCAAACAAAATTCAAAGGCGTATCGAATGCTCAGTTACGGATCAAGTTATTACAGAAATAGAAGAACATTACAAGTACATTACATGAAAATGAAAGGGAAAAAAAAAGACTTTGTTCCCTCACCATCAGAATGTGGATCTGACTTGCTAGGCTGTGAATCTGAAGTGCTTTTTTCCTGACATTCCTGTTTCAAAGAGAGTCACAGTGAGTTCCGATATGGCTGATGGTGATACTAAACACAAGATAACAGGAATTATATATCAAAGCTAAGGTGGAGTGTCCATATATACCGCTACCGAAAAAGCTTCACTTTCTTTATCTCTGCAGGATCTCGCCAAAGTGTTATCTAGCTCTGGACAATTCTTTGAAGGGGTACTGATCTTGAGGCAAATGCAAGCAGTATTGCCACATGAACCACATTTCCGGGCAGAAAAATTCGGGGCTCCATTTGCAAGATCATGTTGCCCACAACCATTGGCAACTACATCGATTTCCAGCAGATTAGCTCAATACCAGAGCCAAAAAGCAGAGTAATTCTGCAACTTTTACGGTTGTACCTTTGCTCTGATGCTCCACAATCAATCTGGTTGCAAACTGGCCCTGATCCGGCTTCTTAAGCCCCAGCAGGAAAACGAATAAACATATCGTCAGAAAGTTATTCAGAAAAATACAGAGCAATCTCCATTTGTTAAGTGCAGGGGAGGGTTTTGTTCAGAAATCTTACCTTAGTTGCTATGTCTGTTGGACTTACAGAGTGAGAAGCCTTTTTGGCCTTCTCTTCCACCAGCTTCGACAAAAGAGGAACCTTTCTGGCTTTCTCTTCCACTGGCTTCGACGACGAGACAGGAGAGATTCTAGGGGATGCCACTGTTTGATGTCTGCTCTGTCCTGGACTATCAACTTCAACCTCAAACAATTTGGTATTGCGTTTCCTCTGCAGTAATTTCCATCTGAGCGCAAAAATCTCATTTAGCTCCTTCGCCATCCGGTGAACCATATTCTCTGGAGGATTATACAGCATTGCATTGGAGAAGGTTAATCTGACATCAGCCGCAAACTCTTCTTTGCTATTGTACCCGTTCTTCGCAAGTTTGCATTCAATCGTACTGAAATCCATTGGCTTGGGTATGACAGAGAAGTAATCGGGAATATTCAGTTTAACAGGATCCACGGGTTTAGCAAAAACCCATCCAAATCGGTGCTCCTTGATTGATTTCAGCAGCAAAGAACACTGATGAAACACATTGCGGACAAGTTTCTGCTTCTTCCTTGTCTGAAACTCATCTAGTTCCTCGGGTCCACGCTTTCTCGAGCGATTGGCGCTAGAGATATCTTCACCGGCTGGCTGCTCAGTTTTCTTCTCCTTATGGCTGCAGCCATTGATAATCGCCACTTTATGGAAACTTCTCTCAGCACCTTCGGAACGAAACTTGATCCTCAGTTTCCTGAGACCGCCCATTCTCAAACTCTGAAAAACCTAGAACAAGTAGATGAATAGAGTTTCAAAACAAGAAGAATGTTTCAGCGTTCTCCCCGACGAAAGGCAAATCCTCGTCGGAGATGGCAGGAGAGAGCGATTCACAGAATCCGCAACTTGGGCGGAAGAGTAGAAGAGATAATTCGGAGAATTTCCAGATTTTCAGCACACAGAGCGGTTAATTCAACGATCAAGCGAGAATTCAGGAAAAAAACGAACGAAACCTAGATTGACAATCGAAACCCAGAGAGCGAGAGGCCATAGAGAGAGCGCGAGTACCTGTGAGATTGCGACAAACTTAGGACGGTCGAGGTAAGAGATCGGATCCCGCCGGGAATTCGCCGGGAACAATCAACAGAGACTGAGAGAACTCAAGAGGATATGAGATTTGAGGAACCAGAATAGCGTCAAATAAATGATTAGGGTTTAGGGTTTATAGATTTTTATACTTTACGTGTTTCCATTTTTACTCTCCGCGCTAAATCTTCGGAACTGTCTTCCTAGATTTAACAAATCCAATCGCCCTCCCAAACAATTTCGGGACCAATACCACATAATTTATAATATTAAATTATAAATTATAATTTTTAAATTTTTTTTAATTTAACTAAAAATAACTAAAAAATTAACTAAAATAAAAAGTAACTAACAAATCTATAAATTTCTTAATTTAATTTAGGATATCAAATTTCAAATTATATATAAAGAGAAAACGATTTAAAAAAATAAAATTAACAAGATTGTGATAATATTTTTTAATTTTACTTTTTAAATATAAAAAATTAAAATATTAAATGGTAATAATGTTAATCAATATTAATATTCTCTAATTATATTTTAAAAAATCTTTAAAAATAAATAAATTATATAAAATAAAATGATAAAATATACAATTTTAAAAAAAAATTAATATGGGTCCTCTTGAAGGTGGAGCCCTGTGCAATGGCTCCATTAGCACACCCCTTACGTTCTACAAACCTATATAAAACGTAAATTTTTTTTAGGTAACCAGGTATTCTAGGCCCAAAGGTTCAAACTAATCTCAATCCATGCGCATGACCCTGCAACACACACGTGGTATGTGAAACATCCGAAGGTGGCAGGAGGAGAATCTCCATACTCTGGGTGTTGAATCCACAACTTCGTTTACAAAAAGGGACTCTCAAACCAACAGAGTTGGGAGATTCCCCTTATATAAAACCTAAACTTATCACTAACTTGAATTAAATCTTGCACTTTAAGTTTTTGGTTTTTTGTTTAAATTATATAAATCAATAAAAAAAACATGAATTAATAGATGTTAATAAATGGGAAAAAAAGGGAGGAAGAAGTGGAAGGTTTGATATTTCTTTATTTATTTGATGGATAAAATTATTTTTCATGTAAATGATAAAGTTATCCGTTTATGTAGTTTGGAATTTTAACTGAATTTTAGTAAATGATAAAGTTTAAGTTTTTATTTGGATTTGTCTCTATATTTTATTATATTATCTATCTATTTAGTAAATTCTATTCAAGTTTATTTCCTTTTAGCAAATTCTTTTATTGAAGGAAGGAATGGAAAGGCACTATAAAATTTTCATGCATGCATAACGATGTTCGAAGCTGTTAGTGTGATCGATAACGATTACCGGTTTGACGCCTTGAGCCGGTTTAGTCGGTTTAATATGGGGGGCCCGGTTTAACCGGTTGGGGAAAGATTGGGAGTGTCGGCAGTGGGAAACATGCAAAAGCCGTAAGAGCGAAGGGAATAATGTCAATCTCTGTCAGGAGGACCACTTCCTAACGTCCATACCATACCATTACTATATATATATATATATATATTTCCAACATTATATATATATTTCCAACATTTAATTACTTAAGACAAAAATATACTGAAATTTAGACTTACGTGTCGAATTCTTCAATAAATGGGTTTCGTGATCTATCAACAACTGCGGAAACTGATTTAAAAATACATTAATATATATATATATAAATAAAATATGGTTGAGCACGCAGATAGATGCATATGTGCGTTGGATCTAGGTTTATGACCAATCTACTAGGAAACTGCTTGTCTTTAATCACATGCGTCTTTTCTTTATTATTTTTGTTAGGATCTTTGCGATGTGGGGGAGAAAGATTATACAAATACAAATACAAAAAAAAAAGATTATATAAATATAATAATATTTAAATATACAATGGAAATTAGTTCAAGCACCACTTCATTTTGTCTATTTCCAACGGACCCACCGTTTTCAAACTGCAATTAATTTTACATTTTTTTCTTTATTTGGTGATTTTTGCTTCACTTGGATCTGAATACAAAAATCTTTTTTTTTTTTATAAATAAAATCTAGATGCTGATAGAATGATCGGGAAAAACGAAATCTAGACGTGGATTTACTAATCTTATGATAGTAAATAAAATCTAAAGCAGGTCAAATTCTGATCGAACATAATACTATTGTATATACATATATAATATTCATCATTTATATATTTATTTTGTTGAATAAAACTTGGGAGCCGCGTGGAGTAAAATCAATCAAATCATTCTCAAAGTATTGGAAGTCAATATTTTAGCAACTCTTCCATCACCGAAATCGAAGGTTTTTAAAATCCTAGTCGTCACTCGTCAGTGAAGAGATCTGAAGGGAAAGAGAG